TCTTATTCTTCACTGTCTTTATACACCATAATTTCCAAGCCAAAGCCTTTTGTAGTACGGGAAGAAATGTTTTATCCCATAGCTTTCGAACAACTTTCCAAAGTTTAAAGACATTGTAAGTCGACTTTCGAGAAACCCGCTTTTTGAAAGTCCGACGCAAAAATACGCAAAAATCCGGAGGTTTAGTAGGGATATGAGTGAAGGGTATGGCTTTGATACCCGTTTCCTGTTGAAATTTTTCCAGGAAATTAACCGTAGAAATTGACGTGTTGCTGCTTTCTTTGTCTTAATGCAGTTCTATTGATTGATCACACTGTGTGTAAACAGAAGGTATTTCCTACTTGAAAATTACGTATAAAATATGGTTTTGATAATATGTGGAGTTGATCTTAATATTTTTCTCTACTCTCTTTGTTTTCAATTTGCCGTTATGTGCTAAACAGCAACAATCATAAATTCCTTAAAAACGTTTTTTAGTTTCCTTGAACTACGTTTTAAGATTTTTCTCCTCTTTGATGATAATAAATGAATCTTTTCTTATTACAGTCATTTAAGTTGCAAAGATTCGTCTATTGTTTTTCGATTTTTCTCAGCATAAATATTTCTGAAAAAAAAAATTCTACAGCGCGTTCCGCTTTTGGCGCTATGGCATGGAGAAAGTGGATGAACATTACTTTTTTTCGCCTTTTTCAAATTCAGATCAGCATTAATCAGATTTTTTTACAGTAGACACTGAGCATTTTAATTCTTTTGCAACTTTTATTCGACTTAGAGGGTTTCCTTTTAGCATTAAAGATCTTACTTTTGAAACAATCGAAATATTCCGCTTTTGCCCTTGGATACGTATTTGGAACAATTTTTGCACTTGAAGCTAAATTCCAACATTTTTTTCCCTTTGCTGTTGACAACATTACACCTATCGTACCTTCAGATATCGAAATCTCACAAGTAGCAGACGACAATTATACATTCAAAAATATAGTTGCAGTTAAAAGAATTCCAAGCAAAAGATTTTTTTTACAGCAAAGTAAAATCGTCTAAAAACTATGCGAACAGTCACTGTATTACGCCACATAATGAAGGTGGAAAATTAATGGGAAAAAGTACCACCTAAAGAGGCAGGTGAAACTACTCAAAATCTTTTTGTTCTGCTGTCGAGCTGGTGGCACAGGTTATACATTTAGTCAATATTCGCGAAGCTCAATATCAGCTTAGTGGTTTTAAGTCTTACGGACAGTTTGTCAGATGTTTTTGGGGTACGTTTTCTTCCTTCAAAAAGGAGATTATCCTCATCGACGAAGAAACGAATGGAAGTGTTCTGGAACTAGTTTCTTGGAATTTTCTTCGGCAGGTTTCGTTTCATCATGTCACTGGAACTATGGCAGGTCTGACGAATTGGGATTGTGGCTTCTGGCCGTCTCTCCAGTTCTGAAAAATTCTTTCTGTTTAACTCTTTCAGAACCAATCCGCCCGACAAGACCCTACATTGAAACAACCCAAAACCGCCCAAAAACGGCCGAGATTGTAATCTTGTTTTCTTCCCTCCTCCTAAGGCATGCAGTAGCAGATGCAGTTGCCCCAAATGCATTGTATCAGTGTACTGCAGACAGCTTGTCCTAAGAGGTTTATTATCTTTTGCTTGGTCGTGACATTTCGCTGTTGATTCTTTTGTGGTACAGTGTGCTTTAAGCTTTAAACAGCAATAAAATTGCAGTTTAGAAATTTAAGTATTATATTTATTTTTAATCAATTTATTCTTTCCTATAAAAATAACGGAAATAAACAAAATCTAAGTCGTGATAATAACAAAGCCAGAAAAGCTTGTTCGTTTGACCTTCGGAATAGTTTTATAAAGAAAGGGTCAAAGGCTAATGGAATCTTTGTTAGAAAGTACAAAGGATGTCATTCGAAATCTTCACACCTATTTTCTGCGTTAATGGACGGGGAGGGGAGGAAACTGCTGTGAAACTGGAAAAGTATTTCGGACGGTTTGGTATTTTGAGGGTACAATTTAGCGAACGGTCTGGATTTCAAAGATTTAAATGAGGCTTATCTTCCTCAAGATCCCGAAATTTATGGTTTTGGGGGTTTCTCATTTCTTTTGGGTAGCCTCTGTAACTGGTTCACGTATGGACCTTGGCAAAAAATTCAAGTATGTTTCTATTCTTTCTTCAATATACAAAGAATAGAAACATACTTGAATTTCTAATTTTAAAGTCATTCCAATGATTCGACTGGTTAAATTTGAAAGTTCTGCGACTTTAAAATAAAATTTTAAAAAATTTAAAGTTAATTTTAGAAAATAAAATCAAAATTTTAAAATTATTAAAGCATCTTAATATGATATCAATTCAAAACATTTTATTTTTTAAAATTTAAGACGTAAGATATGAGAATTTGGACATAACAATGGACATAACATTATTCGATATAAAGAAAGACGAAATTTTAGACGAAAGAATGACAAAATATTTTTACAGATAAGGAAAACAAAATTTATATTTAAACATAAGAATGACTATTTTGATTTAAAGTTAGTTATTGTTGGCAGTTTTACAATTTTTTAGTTATATAACAAAGTATTGTAGGGCTTAATTTTTAATAGCTATCTTTATTTTGGAACATGCCTTTCATATACATTTTAAATTTCCACCTAAATTTCCCCGCCAAAATGAGTTTTCCGGATTACGATTTATGCAAATGAGGTACAAACGAGTATTTAAGATGAAGTCTGGGTCACCTTCAATAAGAAAATCCAAATTGATACCTCAAAGTCATAGCTCTTCGTCATTCGGAAACGCAAAAGGAACACTCCGATTAAAAAACCACTGTCTTTATACAACGAAATTTTTCCAGTGGTTTTCCAGGTCAAATATCTTGGTGTTTTATTTAACGACCGCCTTAACTTGGAAACATCATGTTAATAATGTGCGTGACAGGACACTTAAAATCATCAAATGCTTATACCCAATTATTGGGAAATACTCTTCACCGGACCTGAACTAGAAGAAACTTATTTACCTTTCCGTTATCAGACCAGTCATGACTTACGCTTCTCCGGCATGGACAGTTATCTCCGATGAGGAACTTAAGAAGCTTCAAGTGGTGCAAAGTGGATATTTTCGCATTATTACAAAGGCTCGCTTCTATGTGCGTAACAAACGTCTTCACGACGACCTTAAGATCGAACCGTTGGCGAAGTTTCTCAGAAAACTCAATGAACGCTTCTAACAGGAAGCGCAAGAATGTAATGTAATGAACCACTTTGAGCTTTTCAGCTACGAGATTCTTCATGAGGACCTCCATTTTCGCCATTTTGCGGCTATGCTTAGCGATACCCAAAATTTTCCTACATAAAGCTTTATTTCGCTTTCGCATCTGTGCTCTGTCCAAAATCTCTGCTGAATATAAGTTTATAGCATGATTTTGACTTCATCCTCATCACTTATTTAATGCAAAGCAACTGGTTGTAAATATTGTGTATATAGTCTTCCAGTTTATGAGAAAATTTGTATTTTATGTATTATATCTTGTCTCCAGCACTCACTTAGGCATTTCTGTCCTTGCATCGCTACATTAAGCAACCAAATGAAGATAGCCGGTATACAGCTTGCAGCTTTTCAAACTATACGCGGCGGCAACGCCAAACAGAAACTTCAGTAAGAGAGAGCATTCTGACTTTCGGCTGCTATTCTAAATGTACTGTTCTTCGGTCGTACTTCTGCATGCCTGCTAGTATACGCCGGTGATCTTTAAATAAGGCTCAACTGCGTTAGTTAATTCTGTGCGGCTTCGAATGGTTAAATTTATTTAGCATTAGATTACTTTTTTTCTATTTTGAGTTAAAGCCCGAGTGGAGACTTATTGTACGGCCGATATGGGCCTCTGTTAATCAATTTTGAGTTGAACTGAAAGGTAATTTATCCCTTATTTTTTTCTCGCTACTTACAAAAACTCAACGAATGGTAGCTACACAGTTCTTCAGTATTCTAGCTTACAAGGATCTCTAATTTAGCTAGGATATTACAGCATGATAGCTAATAGTTAGTTGTACTTTTGTTCCGTCGTTACAATGAAGTACATTGTAAATTGATGATGTCTAAAAGCTCAATGTTATTTATTTATTACGTGCTCCGTCATTGTGCACTGTACAGAATAGAACTTATTGAAACTTAATCGCAGATTCTTGATGTCGTATGAAACTCACTTTACTCATTCTTCCTTAAATACGTCACACCAGGTCCTGAGAAGTACTGAAAATCAGAAAACACTCCAGAGTCTCCTTATAAAACTACTTTCGTAGAAGCAAGCACGACTCCCTCGAACTCAAGACGTTTAAAAACTAAATTATCATGCGCTCGTGAACCATTTTGGACCTCCCGCGCCTTCATCCCGATAACGTTAAAATAAATTTACATAATTATGAACAACAATCTAGTGTAATTAAATAAAACTGTTTAATTTGAAACGTTTTTGTATTTTTTTAGATTTTATTTTACCATCTTGCAAACCTTCGTTCTATTCCACGAACAATGCTAAACTATAAAATATCTACAAATTATCTTTCTTTACAATAAAACTTACTTTTATTCAGTTTCTGGGCCCACCAGTTTTCAGTTTCTGTCCGAGCAGTAAGTTTGCTGAATACTGGTAGTTCGGGTTCGAATTTAGAATCCCGCGAACGGCCTGGCTGCATTTCGTGGTTTTCCCGAAGTGTAACGTATATACGGCCATTTTCCCTTGGAAAGTATTCCAAGAAGGCATCTCTTGCCCTTGGCAGATAGACCTAGTGTGATTTGCCATAATCTCAATAAACCAAACCTTTCAGTTTCCCTTTCTGATTAGTTGATTTTTCTCACTAACGTCTGTTAGGAACTAATTCTAGATATATTTTTGATTCATTTTCGAATGCATAAATTCACTTACAAAATCTTCAGTAAATGAATGCATAAATTCACTTATTGAAGACTTACCCAAAAGTAAATAAACATTTCAAGGAAATATATATGTAAAATGTATTTATTTCTTTAATATATAAAACGCAGCAATTATGAAATGATACATAAAGTATTTATTCGCATTCAGTAGATAAAGACTTTCGAAACGATGTATATGCAGTTTGTATATAATGCATTTGTTTTCCAGGCATAGTTGCATTAAAATTCACATAGTATTTGATGTTGTAAGCAAAATATCACAATCTTACAAAAATGGACACTTATTCAATGGCGTTTTTTCAGACTTTGTAGCTTAGCAACTCTGGTATATCGCAAAAGTATTTCAAGCACTCAGGATTGTTGATATTGTTCACTTGAGGAATCTGGTTGGTTGCAACTATCTTTCGAACAACACCTTCCAGTCGCTTGTTATTCACATTGTACTGAAAAGAAAGGCAAAAAACAACTATAATAATCAACGATCTGATGTTAAAAACACATGTGTGGGGAGAAAGCTTACATAACCAGTTACAGAAAAATACTCTGAAGACAGTGATTGAAATTCTATCATTTCTTTGGCACTTTATAAGCCAAAAGACGAGCAAACTACCTTAACAATTCTGGAGTTTTTTAAAGGCATCTTTATATTTATTACATATTTATAAGTAAAGCCGGTGAAGAAATTGGAGTGGAAATGTCATGTATCATGCAATAAATGGAAATGTAGTATTTCTGAATATAATGATAAAAATTACACGAATTCATTGGTACTTTATAAGCCAGAATATCGAAAGAATACTTTAATTTTGGAGTTTTTTAAAAGGCATTTTTATATTTATTACATATTTATAGGTAAGGCTGGTGAAGAAAAATTAATGGAAATGTAAATTATAGGCGTTCGCATATTTTTCAAAGAACAGGAGAAACAACAGCCATATTTATCAAAAAGCACGTGAAAACTATGAAAAATATTAACACTTCAATTTTTTTTTTAATTCTGTAAGCTCTCGTTCCATAAACAAACAGTAATTTATAAAAAGAGGAGGGAACAAATTAATCACATTAGCTCAAAAGTTAATATCAGTTGGAAAGAAAAAGTCAGTAGCATCCCTGAAGCGTCATCATCACTATTTTTTAGAACAAACATATCTTATATACAAAGAATATGTATTGAAGTTCTTTGTTATACATGCAGCTATGTCGTCCTTAGTTCTTAGCACCAAGGCAGTCTCCGGGCGCCATCTATGTTTGGCAGTGAGAACCATTCGTTTGCTTGTCTATACTAGGGGATCTCAACGGAGTCGTAGGGATCAGTGATGATCAAGGTTTCGATTTCGATAGCCGAAAAGGCAAAGGAAATTTATCTACGTAATGAAGATTCCATTAATTATAAAAATTATTCATATTATAAAATTGATAATTAATTGCTTATTGATATAAAGCTAAATCATATTAAATGAACATAATAAATGAATAAAGGAAGATATTCATATGAAATAAACACAAGGAGAATAACACATGAAAATTATTTAATTATTTAATTTATTATAAAAAACAGTAATATTTTTAAATATATTGGTACGGATTTTATGTTTAGTTCGCTATTTTTACTAGAATTATAATTAAAATTGTTTTATATCCCCGTGCAATGCAGCACGAAACTTATTTTAAGAGAAAGCTACGCCGGAAAAGTAAAAATACGGGAGCACGCGCATTTAACAAATGAATAGATATCTCGTAATTTATATTTAAAGTGAATAAATGTAAGTTATCTGCAACCGTAATTCTACTCTTTTGCTTTCCAGAAACCTCGAGAAAATACCAGAACCTTCTCGTTACCGATTAAAAATCTTTAAAAAGCCGGAAAGAAACATCTTAGTTCAGTTATTTACTTGGTTGTAGTTGTTTACTTAGCTGCTGTGATTTTGAGATTAAATTAGCTTTCTCTGCGCTTCGGATTGCGTTCTGTTTACGTTTTAATAGTTTAAAATATAACTACTGTGTGATATTGTGCGAATATTTATGAGGGAAAAAAATCTTACCGTTTTGTTACATTTTTTGTGATAAGAATAAATTTTAGCAACTTTTCATCGGACTTGTGTATTCAATCTATTACGAACCCGCACGCACGCAACAATATAATATTTTTATGCAAAAAATGCAATATAAAAAGTAAAAGGCAGGATTACAAGATAACACAACTAAAAATGTACGACGAACGCAAAACTTTCTCACTTGGTGTATTTAATTACGGCAAAGTACACTAGAGCTATCTGCCTAAGAAAAGGGATGCCTTCGTGGAGGACTTTCTAAGGGAAACTGCCTCGTATACACGTTACACATGGGGAAAACCACGAAAACACCTATGCAGCCAGCCCGTTCGCGGGATTCGAACCTCGGACCGAACTACCACTGTTCAGCGACTTTACCGCTCGGCCGCTGGTGGGCCTCCGAAACTTCCTCAGAAGATATATTGTTACATACTAGCTACTTGCAAAATTTATAAGAAGAATTTAATGCTCTTTTCAAGACACTGAAAATTTGAATGTGCCACTATGGATCATAGAACCACATAACTGCGGTACATCTGATCTTGATATTAAGATTCAAGATGAGTTGATAACATTGAAGAAAGATGTTCAAGCGCAAGTCTTATTCAAAACAGAGGGGTGTGCTAAATCCTAGAATTTAAAGGTTATTCGATAGAAATATCCCAAAATAAAAGTTGTTACCGAAAAACATTATTATGTTTTCTCTTTCCTAACCTAGTCACAGGCTTCAGTCAAGTCAATAGTTTAATCCAGAAAGTAACAAACGGGTTGAATCGTTTTAAAAGATGCGATTTAAGAATTAAGCAATTTTATGCCAAATATTAAAATACATGCATTATTACATCACAAGCAGCCATAACATTCATTAAAATTTGGCTTTTGTGCAATTAGAATTAGTAATTATGTTTCTGAAAAGTTATTTGTATTTCTAAAATTAAAAAAATAAAATTTCAAAAAATAATAAAACAAAACCATTTTTTTCCTAATAAAACATTTGTTTAAACCTTTAATTTTGCTCCTGAACTTAGTCTAACTGACATCTTTATATGTGTAAGTATTTATATTATGATTGCATTGTAGTTTGTATATTACAAAGAAAAATGTAAGGATGTACCATTCTTTTAATTGGGGTCGATGGAAGAAAACGTTTGGGAATACCTGATCTGTAGAGTTAGTTGCTAACCGTGATGTTCGCCGAGAAATTGCACCAATAATGATGCTGCTCTTTCTGCCTGCTCTGTTTCTAATGAGGAAGAACAACAAGCCTGCCTCGTGCTCTGTGTGTGTTTGGTAACTAGAAAATGGCGTTTCTTGATTTATACAGCTTAGTTGTTAAGGGAACGATATTCGCCGGTTAATGGCAAAGACTCCGGAACTGCAAAGAGTTCTTTGGTTCTTTGGCTCCGATCACCAAGGAATACAAAGCTAAACAGATCACTCTAAAACAGTTCTCGTGGGGCAAACAAATCTGAAGCAACGTCTTTTCTGTCCCACGGAAACCTCCTCGTCCCCAATATTAAGAAATGCCAAAGTAATTTAGAAGAAAAATATTTTGTCCTATTTTTATTTCCTTGCAGTCTTTACTTCAGTTTTACTGACATTTAGTTTCACTTACAGGGATGTCTGGAACTTCTAAAATGACTTGCGGCACGCAGTCCTCCCACAGTTCCCTGTTGACGGTGAGGGCGATTTTATCTCTGAGTTCGGGAGTGAATGTGTAACCCGGCTTCAGCTTGACAAAGAGAACAGCTCTACATTCGCCATCATTCCTACTCTGATTGACACATATGTAGTCCATGATCTCTTCCATTCCATGAACTGTAAATAAATAAACACATACAAACAGTAGATTTTAAGAAAGGAAAATAGCCTTTCATGCATTGATTCATTTAATACCTTAAGTGAAAGTAAATTTAAAATAAAATAAAACTTAAAATATTCATATTAATAACAGATAAGCATTTAGTTTTTGTGGCGATAATTCTTAAGCATACTGCAATTTTTAAGAATCTGAAATGGGGTAATTATCAAAACTTTGATATTCAGAAATGTTCGGAAATATAGACGCCTCGCTTTACAATATGGTAAATGCAAAATGAGAGATTTTTATCGAAGAAAAACGTTTTCTCCAATAACCAAGTAAAAAAAAAAAAATTCTGGATTACAGAACTGTATATTAACTGCAATTTTTAGTGTAAGTTAAAATTTCGGAGTTCCGAAGTAAAATCTTATTAGGAATCTCTGAAATCTTACTATTACCTATATGACATTTAGTAAATAAAATAGAGATAAAATAAATATTTTTTGTGCATAAACGTGTATACTTACTGGCAAAATAAACATCTGCAGCTGCAAAGCGATCGCCATTTTGAATTAAAGTATCATCACTAGAAAAAATGAAGCAAAAAACTGAAATTAATGAACAAATGTATTTAAGAATTTTATGAGCTTTGTTTCATTAGTTGCAAATAAAACGCTTTTTCATTTCACTCCAGTAAAGAAGTCAATAAACTAGGTCACAAAATCTTCAATTAAACTATTCTGGATTTGCAGTTTAAATGAACTTTGCTCAAACTTTCAGCTGTAGAAATGATCCTCTGTCGACATGAATGCAATTCAAATCAGTCCCTCGAATTATAAAACTTTCATATTTTGGGGAGGATATTTTTCAATTGGTTCTTAGCAAAATCATTAAACACAGATAATTTTAATTTTCAGCTTGTATTAAATACAACAACACATTCAAACTCTGAAACAAATATAACAAATGTAAAATATGAATATAACAAATGTAATATGAATATTTCTGAATATAAATGATTTATACGAATATGAAATACTGAAAATGAACGAATTTTAAATTGTAGAAAGGAAGAAAATTGAAATTTAATTTTAGGGTGTCTGAAAAACCGTGAAACTATAGTTAAATCATTTTTATAAGAATAGATTAAATGCATTTCAAAATACGAGCATATCACCTGCAATAAATTTACTTTTTATTTTTGTAATTACCTTCTGGCATTCAGAAATTTAAAAATAGTGTAAGCGACACTAGTGTAGAGCTATTCTTCTTTTAATCAAAATAACATACATTTATTAATCCTCCTAATGTCTACCTCGATCTTTGCAATTCCTGACACGCCTATGAACAAGAACGCATTTTTAAAATTATTATTCCAAAATGTCCCTAATATGATCTGCCCTGATACGTTTCTTCTCAATATACCCTATTGTTTTGAGAAACTGTTTCGGATTTGATTTCTTATAGAAGTGCATGATTTATCCAACGTCTAATATTTCTATATATATTATACATTTCAATATAATTGTCTAATATCCAACGTATCATAATATCGTACATAGATTATCTTAGTCGTAACAGCTCATAACAGATGAATGAGTCCACAGAAGAAACGTCAAAATAAATTATACAAGAGAATTTTGTCTGAACTCTTGTGAATTACTTATTTTTGAGAAGCATAAGACAGGTTGTTTAACGTTCGGATATATATGTGTGTAATAATAAAATTCCATAGTCAAGAATACACTTAAAATTCTAACTGTATGTTCTTTTCATTTTTAATGGCGATGTTCTCTTATTTGAAAGTACGTGGAATTAAATCCACAGCCCCGTAGTCAAGTTGTTTTTCCCGCCTTTTCTACACGTACAGTTATAGAATGTTCTGGAAATATTTAAAGCGAACTGGATTGGCTGACGAGGCTGACGTCATTTCTGGAGTCCCTTTCAGAGGCTATAAAGGCTGCAAAAGATATCGGGCTTTTTAAAGTCCATGCACTTATACAAAGTTATTGTAATCTTTTATTTCTCGATATCTATTTGTATGCTTTTTCCGATATAAATGGCTCCTGTTTTTTACTTATCCTATAATTAAGCACATAATGCTTTTTTTCCTTTCTTAAATTCTTAATCATTGCGACACACGACAATTAGCCAGAAATTAATTAATTTCCATTCACTAGTATTTTCAAAAAAATCTTAACAGACAGTCTCCCTCAAATAAGAACTCCACATAATACATCCCTCAAGAATTCCGAGTCCAACCCACTACCATAAATTACTTCACCCAAGTCTTACCGACTGATATTATTCAAAGCCCCCACTGCCGCTAAGAATTTTCGGACACCCAACACTTATGAGTCAGACACGAAGAGAACACTTTGCCAACTCCCCCACTAGAAAGAATGTAAGTTACTTAATACCTTTTCTGGCCTTTATATCTTCATGTACATTCACTGTTCTTATTATATATTATTTTTTACATTTTTTTATATTACTTTATATTGTCTTTGATTTGTTTTTACAAACTTTGCATTATTTATCTTATTTTGTAATCTTCTATGTTTATTTCAACTTTACTTTGAATTCGATTTCATAATAACAATTTCCAATGTTTAATTTTTACAAATAATATAGAACTCAAAAGCATAAACATGAAGGTGTCGGGGACGGTTACTCGGGTTATATCGGATTTCTCTACAGATTTTGCTTTTTACTTCAAATTGAATTGACAAAATTGCTTCATAAGAATAAGTTCTTTGACTATAAGCATTGGATCATAATCCCTTCTATTCGCGGAAATATTTGGCCTGACTAGAATTGCCGGTTTGGCTTTAACTTATAACTCGAGTAAAGACGAAACACCTTCGTATTTACGTATTTTTATCAATTATTGTTCGTTGAACGGGAGTTGGTTTGTTCCCCTTGAAAAGTCAATTAATTTCCGATCAATGACAATGATTACATGTTTTTAATTTTCCTTTTACAATTGAAATTTTATTCTTCATGATGATTTAACTCTAGTCCCCGTTAAAACATTATTAACATTTTGCTTTCAAATTACTTCAAAACATCTTTCGAAATATAACTTACCAGTATGGATTCACTCTTTTAAAATAATTCTACTTTAATTAAACTTAGGAGATAATATAATCAATTAATCAATAGTGTTTAGGAAATATATATATATATTATACTTGCAACAGAGTCTTCATCCGCTCCTACATATTCTCCGAAGACTGGAGCCTTGGTAAGGTAATTACGGAACAATATATCTGTCTTTTTTTCTTCTACTACTCGTGATTCAGCGTTATTTTGTTCTGAACTATTGATTTTTCCCTTTTTTCCATTTGTTATTACAACAAGAGATCTACCACGTGGTAATTACGTCTCTATTTCTAGAGAATCTAATTTTATTATAATGTTAAATGATATCTGAAAAGATAATAATGTTCAAGAAGACGCCTTTTAAAGTGATGCTATAGCACGTCTTTGAGCATCACAAGAAATGTATTGCAAAATGTCTTTTGAGATCCTTTCTCAGACTGCACAATGAGTTTTTATTTTGTAAAACTTAAGCACTTTTAAAATCCATTCAATCAATGCTTATCCCTACATTCTGAAAGAAAAGGGGGTTATTTTTACATATCTCGGTTTGAAGGTACAATTATTTCAGTGTAAAGAAATAAAAAATAAATAGAAAATCAGCATTTTAATACATGAAAAATAAACGTTTAGGTAAAGCTTTACTTTCACATAAAAATTAAGACAGATTGCAATGATTATTAGAAGCATATCAGGTACCTTCTTCCAAGTACAATAAGACCCCTTGTTTCCGGATTGATCCAGCCTTCATCGTGTTGACACCAGGCACCTGAAAGAAACATAGTCTACTAAGAGAAAGGACTTGATTATGTCAATATCACGTGGTGTGGGAGAATCCCAGCATCCATCTTACTTTAGGTAAACTGGGACTGATCAGGGTCTGTAACTATACAAGGAAATGTTTAAGCTCTAAACACACTTTGGAAAACAGCATTTATGAGAAGGATTGATGATTTGCTTACGTTATTATACTATACTATCAATCTATGAATTTTTGCCCCTCCACCAGCCGAATAGTTAACCACGTTCGAACCCAGACGAATGGGCTTGATGCATAGTTGGTTTCTGTGGTTTGTTCCCATGTGTAACGTGAAATGTGAGCCACTTCTTCTTTGACAGTCTTACCTGTCCTCTCAGACAGGTAGCCTTCGTGTACTTTGCGATATTCAAAGAACCTAAAATAACTATCTATTACGTTTGACTTATATGGGAAACCAGAGCTGCCAGGAAACAAGAAGTATAATCCATTTAGTGACAGTTAAAAATTTTGCTATATATTTTATAATTTTACGTCGTAATACAGACGAAAGCATACAGTTAGAAAATTTTGCAAATAAATTATTTTATAAAAAGATTAGTCAAACTAATGTCAAATATTTTGATGGGAAGTCGAAGAAGGAGGTCTTTTTTTATTTGGTTGCATAATCACGAATTACTATTTATTTAATTAGATATTTAAGAGATACCAGTTATAGATGCCGCAAACATAAAATATTAAGTAAATATCAGCTCAAGCTTTCAGATTATCTGACAAATAAATTATAAAATTAGTGGCAATCTTCTTGATGGTTAAAATTCTTTAGTGGCGTTTAAAATAGCAACAATATTTCTAACTTCTTTATAAAATTGGAAAATGCATAAAGACCCTTAAATACGAATCTGTGTAGTGTCGCATGTTTTCGTACTGTCTTTTATAGTGCAATATTTTCGAACTTTACAATCTTTCAATTTTTTTGCGTATTACACCAATATATTCAGTTCCCCATCTTTGAAAACACTTCAGTGCTTGCTGTTTTGTAGAAAACATGTTCCAAATTTAATCATGCGTTCAAAGTGAAATAGAGAAATTGTAGTTAATTTTATACCTTTCTTTTCAGAAGCTAAACTGGCAACACACTACAACGCACTATTCTACGAGTGTGTTGTTGCATCGCGCTTATCCATTTCTGGGGCTAAATCACACTATTTGGCGACAGTTTTAGTAGCATTACTTCTTAGCAGAACCCTCTCAACTGAGATGCCGCATTTTATACTCAGTTGTAAATGAGAATTTACCTGAACATTTTGAAAGATAAGTTTCCTTCATGATGGTGTGATCGACGTCCTTCCATAAGTAAATAGGAAAACTTGGACATGGAGCTGCAAATATTATTTCACCCTTCTCACCAATTAAAGATCGACCTGAAAAGAAAAAGTTTGAAATTTCATTTCAGAACTCAAACCAAGATTAACATTTTGCATAGAAATAATTTAAATCTTCTACTCGATATTTTAAAGAAATAATGCAAATGCACAAATCTTCTTATTACTGGATTATTGGATTTAAAACTTGATCCCCTCTCACAAGACTTCAGGCATCACCTCCATAATGAGTACTCGATACCTAAATGAATTCTACATCTATTCGAACTTTTGTGTTTGCAGTGATTCTCTTTGGATAATTTTCTAGAATCACAATACCACTCCTTGTGCTGCAACAACGAAGTATTTTCCCAGAGTTAACTCTACATAACTGCTTTCTTAGCCTCTTACATCACCCGAATAGCATTCTGCGACTAACTCCTTTACTTGAAGTCGCTCTTCTTGGATAATTTTCCTTATAGAAAATGGCATATACTTCTGGATATGACACTTCTCACCCTGCAAAAACAAAATAAACCTTACTTAGGGTCATTTGTACCTAATTGCTTTCTTGTCCGTTTACATCATCTGAATGACATTCTACGACTTGTCGAACTTCTGTACTTGTAGTGTCTCATCGTGGATAATTTTCTAGAAGTATAATGACATTCGTATGCTGCAACAGCAAAGTAAGCCTTCCTTAGAGTTTATTGTACGTAACTGCTTTTTTGGCTGTTTACATTATCGGATTTATTTTCCATTGAAAATGTGTGGGATCCAGTCAAAGAAAGTGTGATGCTTTCTAGGAAGTCTTGAAGAAATTAATAAACGGTGCAGAGTGGATGGTTATTCCGTGAGGCACAATTATAACGTTCTTTAACTTTACCATGGTGTGAAGAGCAGTCGATACAAGCGACAGATGAACAAGCAAAATAGTAACTGTATCGGGGTAGAACGTTCATAGTTTTGAAATGCTAAACATTTGTTTCAGTAAACAAATAAATTAATAAGCAAATCTTTAAGCAAATTTCCAAACGGAAAAAAAGTATTTGAACAACCAATGAAAAAGTTTGAAACTTCACTTCAAATACTGAAAATGAAAGAAAAACATTTGCAATTCGTATTAGAATCTCCTATTAATCTTATCAGTTTCAACTCCCTTTTTTATTATAAATTCATTTTTTAAATGTGTGAAAAGCAGAATGAATAGACTTTATTAATGCGCGATAGGATTGTAAACTTAAGTAATAATCGCCCTACATATTGTGAAATAGCAAATATTTTAAAATTAAATTTATCAGCTGTTTATTATGTGATATGAAAATATAAATTCACTGGAAGTATCGAAGATAGAAAGAGGACGGAGCGACCAAAAGTTCTTACATAAAGATAAAGCAGAATAATTGAAAAGCCAGTACATAGTGTATAAACACTCTTATTATAAATACAAAATTAACTAATGACCTTGCATCTTGTTCGGGTGTTTGTGTTTTACCTCGAACAGTAAGACATTAACTACATAAATTCGAATATAAAGACAGGAGTGAAAACATATAATTTAAACTAAGCATAAGAAGATGCTTCATTTGCAAAAGAATATATAAATAAGCCTTCAAAATTTTGGAAAAAGGACATCTCACCAATTAATGTAAATTTTGCTCGTTGGGATCCAATGGTAATAAAGCTGTTTGGATAAAAATAAAACGATTCTAAGTCATAAAAAATTTACGTCCAGCTGGGGTAAAGCATGGTGGTGGAAGCGTTATGGTATGGGTAGTATTGTAAGGATCTTAAGTTTTACTAACGTTTATTTTATTTTAAATCTTTACTATCACTTCTTATTTTCTACTTCCGGCCAGAATTAAAAGCTTTAACTTATTTATGCAAATTTGTTGGCGAACGCCAAGTACTTAAGTTGTGGATTTTTGCCAAGCGAGAGAGAGGAAGGAGTTAGTCGAAGCAGGCCGCTTGCCTTAGAAGTTTCTCTCGGTTGCTGGTTGCCTTCCAGGCCAGAGATTTAATCCTCGTGATAATTTTAAACGTATTGTAGTGTTAACAGTTCTCTGTACTACATACAGCTTCCTGTTAATATAAGGCCAATCTTCCACGTTTATTATTCCAAATTTAAGTTAGAGTTTAGTTATATTTTTTATATTCTTACGTTCAGAGCACAAGTAGTTGATCTCTGTATTCCGAAGTACGGAAATTATTGTAAAGAGTGAAAAATAAAGGGTTTCGTATACTTTTCCTGTGTATCTTGTCTACTTCCCACATTTATTGGACATAGCTTTAGTAAGCTCACTGTTCCTAGTCAGGTTCTGGAATGTTCCCCAAGCAAGTAAGGAGAAACGCTGAACCTGATAGTATAAGCTGGAATTGAACTGGTAATTAGACTATGAGTGAGGAAATTTTGCATGCGAGAAAATACATAGAGATATTGTGAGATCATTTACTTCAAAGCTTGTCGAAATTGGGTATTAAAGATGACTTTTGGTTCGAACAAGGCAATGACCTTAAATTTACAGCTACAGTTACAGAATAATTTCTTTTATATAAAGTTCCCCAAAGACTGAAGTCAGTTTCTTCATTCTGAAGTTCGACTTTTCTACACCATTACAATCTGTGCGACGCTGTTTGTTTGTTTGTGGCGTTATCACCTTCGGAACGGCGAGGAGTTGAGTTTCGAGAGAGATACCCTCAGATTCCAAAAATTCGTGGGGAGCCATTTCGAGCATTCTCATCTTCGTATGACTTTAATTAGAGGAGATATTAATCAAAAAGTCTCAAAACGCTAACCTTCGCCCTCATTTTCTAAGTGGCAACAATCTTGCACACTGGAGATAAATCTATTTTATTTTGAAATGTGTTGCCACTGGTCGCTTTCAGATCGTAGAGTTTCTTAAAAGAAATTTCGAAGTTTTACAAAATATGAAATAAAAATAGCATTGCCAAACTTTAAATATATTATTATAATATAAAATTCATATTCTGACGTTGAAGAAAGCACGTGATTGCATGCGACGGCATTGTATGTCGAAAAGGTTTCCTCAGTGTCAGCATTTTAAATAAATAGGTGCTGTTGGCAACTTTTTTGTTTCAGTTAGGATAACTGACAAGGTATCTTCTTGCCACGTTAATTCTTTTATTGATATTGAGGAAAAGTTGCTATATTGCATTAAATTTCAATCACGACGTCATAAGTATAAGTATTAACCTGGTGTGTCAAAGTTTTTGTTTCCTGGGTTTGGCAAAAAAAATTACTTACGATTATTTTTTGCTTGGAAAGAATGAACTGATTTCATTCATATTGAAATATTTTTATACCTTTTCCTTTCAAGTGCACTTACGCATTTGGCTCTGGCCGCAGCCTCGCTAGTTTATCCTAAATTATGTTTTCATTATTTTTAAATATTCGTGTTATGTCACCAATATCATCTGACAGTTTCTTAACCAAAACTGCTAAATAATACTTGCCATTTTCGTCGACAACACGAATATCCATTCCAAGGGCAGGCACTTGGGCTTCGCCGGCATACAGTGGCAAATTCATGTCAACACCGCTGAAACAACCGAATGTCTCAGTGGCTCCTGAAATAAAATTTGCAAAGCATACATACGTGCCTTATTTTACCTGAGCATTCATTACATGAACACAAGCAAGTGCGTGCCACATATGATTTCATTTATGTTAATCATGTGCATGTTCTCTCTATCCTGTCTATATACAATTGCATAATGTAAATCAATATTTGGTAGTTTTATTTAATTCATGTTAAAAAAATACCAGTTTAAGCAAACCTAACTACCATTCTAGTTCTTAAAAGTGATTATATTTAAAATTAAGCAAAAACGCAGTCTAAGATTGGCGTAGCATTTGAACAGAGCCTTCAGGTTTTTTTTTTTTTCAAACCCCACGTCAATCTAAGACTGCTCCCTCCCTTAGTTTTTTAATTTTATATATATGTGATTTTCTTCCAACTGGATAGTTCTATCTTTGTTTCAGTGAAGAGATGAGGGATGGCCAAACCGTGGCTCACTGCAAGTGTGTCACTTCAGTCAGCTCTGAAACAGAGTTTTTGCAAGAGCGTTTTTGTGAGTTTGTCCTTTTTTAATTTCGTGTGATACGATGCAAATGTGATCTATTTGCTCTTTTTTAAAATGTTTTAGAGTTTCCTACTTTTCTACATTTTTAAAGTTCCTTTTATATATATCCTTTGTCAGAAAAGTTCAAGGACAATTTTTTTTTTACTTCTGTGTTTGCAATACTAAAAAGGAACAAATGTTGTTTTTATGTTACCCGGATTTTGTTATTAATTGATATGACTTGGCCAAGATTCCGCGTAAACTCACTAGGTGGCAAAGCTGTGCTTAGCAAAACACTGCTCAGGTTGGTTGTCACATTTGTTAAAGTGATACGAGGAATGTATCGAGGAATTCTCTCAGGATATAGCTGAGCAGTTGGAAGATCTTATCCATTCTTGTACTTTCTTTTCTCCAGCTTTGAATGAATCAAGGGACATAACTGATATTGCACAGATAAGCATTTTTATAAGAGGAATTGATGACAATTTTAATGTCTTTGAAGAACATGCCAGTCTGGAGTTATTGCATGGTAAAACAAGAGGATCAGAAATATTTGAAAAAGTAAATTCGTGCCTCGATAATCTAAAATTAAATTATAACAAAGTCATTAGTGTGTCTACTGACTGAGAGCCACTAATAATAGGTACAGTCAATGGCATTGTAACCTTGCTTGAAAATTTTTAAAATCATCCTATACTGAAATGTCATTGCATTATGCACCAAGAAGTAGTGTATGGCTAAACCTCAAATATACAACATGTTAATGCGTTACCGGTTTTGTAATTAGTGAACAAAACATAACACGAATATTAAACAGATGAAAATTCAGATAATACTCTGATTTGTTAGATTTGGAATATGATGACTCCAACTTTCATAGTGAAGTTCGCTGGCTTGCCTTGGATCAATAAAATGAGTACCAACTTCGCTGGGGGTCTTGCAACAAGCTGACCACTTCTTCAGGGCATATGCTTATGCACCCCGAGGTCCAGGATCAAGAAAGTAGATTTCAGGGCACTGTAGGCCTTGGCCCATTAGGGCTGTTTGCGCCACTGCGTTTAGTTTAGTTTTAATGTTTAATTCTTTAGAATAAAATGTACTACCTGATGAAAGATCCCTACGATTTGATAACATATAGCTATTTAAGTTGGTATTTTTAACTGATATTACTAGTCATCTCAGTGATTTAAATATAGAACTACAAGGCAAGAGCAACAATAAATAGCGTCAAATAAATGAAATTAAAGCTGTTAGTTCATCTCTTAGTTAGAAAATGAAGATTTGAGTCCACTTCTATACTTAAAAGAGCACAGTCTACGCGTTGAGAAAAAGAGTAATTTGATGAATTATATTTAAAAAAATGGAGATATTACAAGGGACATTTGAAAATCGTTTTCATGATTTTGCTAAAGACGAAAACTGCCTTCTCGCCTTTATGAACCCATTTTCATTTTTTGAACAAAACGTGATGCTGATGACTAGTTAACATACAAATGCAACTGATTGATTTAGAAGCAAATTAATTCTTTAAAGTGAAAGAATAACTGATTCAAATTTGAGAAATCTCTACTGCTCTCAAAAACAAATTTAACACCATTTAAAGAGCAGCGAAATCCAAACAGGCTGAAAAGTTTCATTACTGATAAGTAATGTTTACTTACTGTAATATATTTTTTTTATGTATAATAATTAAATCCTTCAAAAAGTTAATTATGTCCATAACATACAGATTTCTATATAAGCTATCTATAGCCATAAGCGTAATATGGCATAAAAAGTGCTCGAGTTACAGGAACTCCCATCTGCTTCGTCTGTCAAAACATTGAAGCAGCATGGTATGCAAAAGAGTGGTCACATTCTGGTATAAATAGAGGAATAAAAGTATTTTTCAATAAAATTAAGGAACACTAGTATTAAGAAAAAAATTTAAAATATTTTATTCATGTATGGGAAACTTTATTGTAGATCAAACAAAAGTATGTTTCCATAACAAAAAGAGGAATAATTATTTTAAGTAAACTTTAATGTATTGGAAACATTTAAGATGGGCATTAAAGGTAAATTACTTCAATGAAAGACATAACTGTATTGCTATAAATAATGTATTACTGTTCTAGTTTATGCTGTTAGCTTTAAAAGCCACTTCTTTGATACACGATGTAGATAAATATTTCCCAAGCAAAACACATTTTTATGACTGAGCATTACTTCGCCTTGCAATCTTACGAAAACGTTGTTCAAGCCATTGAAGAAACCTTGTGAAATGTTCGTGAAACTTACAAGGCAGAGTTTTCTCCTGCTAGACTGATTTCTAAAGAAACTAGAAGCTGTTGCTTTACAGAAACGAATGGCGTCTCTTTATCTTCTGAATTCGAAAAAAATAGACGCTATTATTAGTAAAATACTGCAATCACTAACAAATAATGTAGGAAACTTGCAAACAAATATATGCGTTGGAGTACAACGGTGAATCATAAAAAATTCCTTATACTGGGGAAAAATTGTCTCCATCTTGCGCCAAGCAATCGATTTTTAAAGGTAATTGCAACTGGAATTTCAAGTGATATGCATTTATAATAGTACAGGTGTGTGCCATGTATTAAAGTAATTTTTTATTAATATCCATCTGGGAAGTTCTCCAACATTATGCATATTATGCATATACATACATACACACACACACACACATATATATATATATAATATACAAACAAGTAAATACGTAAAAAAGCAAATTTAAAATTAAAAAAATTTAAAAAATGTGCAAAACATATAAAAGATTTAATTTTCGAACTAATCTACAATATCATTTAAATTCAGATAGCATAAGTAAATCAAGTGCAAAATCAAACCATGAAAATTAATTCACCAATTTAGCAAATTAAAATTAATCTAATTTTTTTTTAAATGCATAAATGAATGACTGTTGAGCAGACAGGAGACAGACTTATCAAGGGGAAGTTGCCTCCAAACCTAACTCTTCAATCATTCAATTCGTGTTTCGTCATTAATTAAATTTGTATTTATTAAATTTTTTCTTTTGAAACAATATATATATATTATATATGTATATGTATATATAGTTAACTGTATTTTATCATCAATTAGTTTATTTCTTTCTTTAAATTTGCTTTTTATTTATTTTTTTTCTATTTTTATTCCATTTTGTTATTTTTAGTTTTAAGTATTACTCTGTATGACTGTTTGTTGAATTTTAAATTTTATTGTTTTCGATAGTCTGTCCACGCGTCTGGGAATTATCTCACGATCCGAAATACAACATTAAATTCGAATTTGTTAAAGTGTGAAATTAAACTGGATATTTTTCGGATTTGCGAGGTCAAGAAACGCGCTTTTCATTATTTGTGACGGATGTATGGATAGATTTCAATTCCCGTTGATAAGTCGGAATCTTTCTATGGAATCCGTAATAATTCTTGTGTTTTAGTTTTGCATTTTAATTGACATAACTGTATCTTTATTTATTCCAATTAATTATTCGTTCCACAACAGTGCACATTAACTCTTTAAAATGCTTTCTTAATTGCCAGTTTTTACCACAATAGTACACTTTTGCATTCTAAATTTCAATAGAATTTACTAGAAAATAATTTTCTTTCAGTTTCTGTAGTTTACAAAATTAATTTAATTTGATTTACCGTATAAAATAGCGGCAAATATATGCTTTCCAACCTTGTTTTGGATGAAAGTGATGTTTTGAACTTTGACAGGGCTTCCACCTATGAGCACCACCTGCAGGCTTTCTAAATTAGAATTTGGACCTAAAATATAACAATAATAAATAAAACTCCTAATACTGCAAATATGTCAGGTATTTGATATATTTATAAAAATACCGACATGAATGTTTAATTTATTGATACGTAATGAGATTTTTTAACTATTGCAATGAAGTTTAACTAATAAAAGATTTAAGAAAATAATTTTTCGAATATTCATGTCTACCAGAGATCAAGAGACAAAAACCACTGAATATTGGCAGTTTCAGCTACATTCAGATCTCGGGAAATGGGAGCTTTGGGTTTAAGTCCCCGTGTAACTTGTTTGTTTACAGACAAAGTGGCATCATAGTATAGTGGAAAAGCAATATCTCTGGTTATGGGAAACAAAATCTCCGGAAATAGTTCACAGAGGCGATGCCGGCATAAATTTAATAAACCTCCACCAATGGAACAATCAATCAAAAGATGGTTAAAACTGTTTTGAGGGAGCGGACATATCTTCTATGAACGAAGTGCAGGTAGGTTTCATCAGTGATTGAACATGTTTTCGCCACTTGAGATGTGTTTTTGAGCTGTCCCGGTAAATCCATTCGCGGTGCCAGCCATCAAACAGGAATACCCAGAGCTAGTGTTTATAAAATTATTCTTGAATGGTTGAAAGTTACTGCGTAGGAATTGCAGATTGGTCAACGAACCAAACTTAATGATCTAGTCGTTTGTAAGTAATTTTTTTTGTGAACGTTCTGGACTGTATAAGTAATCATGATCACTTTCTTCGTAATCAGTGACGAATCAAAATTTCATGTTTCAGGAGAGGTTAATCGATTTAATTGCAGGATTTCGGGATCAGAAAACCTGCACTGTGTAAGTACAGTGAGACAGACCTCAAATTAACGTTTGATGTGTATTAATTCGTAACAAAGTGATTGGTCCCTTCTTTTACTTTTACTTTCCTTTCGACGTTTACTTTGATACGTTGAGATTGTCTCCTGTACCGCAATTAGAAGGGTGTCCGCCGAAAACAAAAACATTCTGGCAAATTCTTCTCCATCGCGGAGGAAAATGTCGCGAAAAGGACATTGCAAGGCGAAGGGTTGTCGTACGGAACATCGCGGGAGAACGCAAGGCATGGAGAAAACATAGGAGTTCTGAAACATCGGGGTACAAAACATCTTCATCGAAAATAAAGCGGTTCAAAAACTTCGCATAAGGCGTTAAAATTTGTAAATGCATATTGGCTTAATGATTTGTGAGCGTGTGAGCGCAAAAAGGAATAAGGAGTATTTTTACTTTTATATTTTTTTAATTAACTAAAACTTGTTGCTGAAAAAATAAGAAGGAATTTAAAAAATTGAAAATGAGTGAAAAACCAATCCTAGGTACAGTAGTTAATAGACTTTTCAACTTATATAGGTAAAAAATAAAGCTCATTAATTAATTAAATAATGTCTTTTGTACAGTTTTACTGGTAGGTTTTTCATGCAAAACATAGTGTAAAAGAGGATAGGAAAAGATAGATGAATAACTGCATCATAGGCTTACCGCTATTAAAACTGTTTGTGATAAAAGTTTAGTTCTTAATGTTTCAGTAAGAATTTATTAGTTAATTGGAAAATTAGAAAAACTATTCTTCATTCCTTCTTGCGCTCACAAATCATAATGCAGATAAGTATTTACAACTTTTAAAGCCTGAAATATGTCTGCGATATTATCGTCATGCGATGATTTGTAGGTGCTTTATTTTTACTATGATATTTTCAACTACGATGATTTTAAAGAGAAGTTTTTGAACAACTTTATTTTCTACGATTATGTTTTGTACTACCACGTTTAAGAATTGTGATGTTTTCTCCTTGCTTTGTTTTCTTCCACGATATTTTGTTGATCACATTTTTGCCTTGCGTTGTTTTCTCCGCGACATTTCCGTCCGCGATGTTTTCGCTTGTAACTATTAGAAGAAATGCAGCCAAATTCTACCAGAAACTAATGTTCAAATTCTTTGAAATTCTGAATAAGAATCAGTCAGTATTTTTTCCCCATCTTTTACCCTGCATTATTTAAACGTATCTGCATCCGCTGTATAAATTATGGATACCCTATACATATATTTTATAATTTATAAGCTAGTATGTTGAATTTGGAAGCATGTTTACTTGTACATTCAATACTTGATGCTTTTCATTTTTCTGATAGCAAAATATCAATCCGTTCTGCCTCCATTTGATCTTATGCAAACTTTTTTCTTCTAAATGTAAATTTCAATCCGCAACTAAAGTTGAAACATCAGTTACAATGAAGATGGAATGCATATTATGCTGAAGTGTATTACGCTATATGACTGAAAGTTTACTATTAATGACCAAGTTAATTTTAAAAATTTTAAAGGAATTAAAGAAAAATTGAAAAATCTGAAAGGTTTCAGATTTTAAATTAACGTTTTTTTAACGTTTTGTGTTTTACTTTTATTAACTATCATGTTCTACGTACGCAAACCATAAAACTTAGTTCAACAAAAATATCGCAAAATAATTTGAAAATGAGTATATCTTTAGAATTTCCGATACAGAGTTTCGCGCGCTTGAGATAAAAATGTTTTTTTTTTTTTTTCGTACAGTGTTGCCATTGCTCGCTTTGAAATCGTTTAATTTGTTAGTCAATAATTCGTTGAAGTATTACAAAATATGAAATCCATAATAAAACTAATTTCAAATGCAAATTAGGGCTTCCACATGCTCTAGGTACCGTTGTTTTATCACAATGCGAGAAACATACATAGATTCATTCTTCATTATTTAATTTCTTTAAGTGTAATGCTAGGCGATAATATTTAGTGGCAACAATTTAAAAAGTGATTCGGCATTTATAGTTTATAAGGTATTTCTCCCGCATTCATAGCGTGCCTTCGTGGTGCAGTGGTTCTGCACGCTGGGCCGGTATTCAAGAGGTACGTGTTTCGATTCCCGGGGAAGGCATCAGTTGCTTCCAAAAAATTCCTAATGTCTCCCAAAAGACATTAGGAAATTTTTTAAGTTTTCAGTGCAAAATGCCAAAAGGAAATTAATAGCCGTTCAGGGCAAATTGCGCCTTTGAACTAATAATTATTTCTTTTAGCTGGAATATTTAAAAAAGAAATAAGAAATCAAATTCAGCAAATCCGAATTCATAGACGATGGTAAAATTAAAATTGAATTTATTTGAAATATTCTCTTAAAATCAACTTCAAGAGAAATTTACTAGAGGAGAGGGAAAGCTCTACAAACATATTTGCTTTAGGTGCAAATTAGATGATAATTTGTAGGTAAATTTTTTTCACAGGAATCCTGAGACCACGATATTAAAATTTGCTATAAATTACCGTTTTCTAATATTCTCTAATATTTCTGCCTTTTAATTAAAACTTTGTTCCATATGAGTTCGGAACGTGCTCTTAGCTTTTCAGTATAAACGAGTATGATTTTTAAACCTACCATTCATTTGCAACTTCAGACAGAATAGAGACCCGTTATTTCTACCTATATTGTATCTGGCTCGTATTTTGTTGTCTTTTTGCTTTAACATTCAGCATTGTTTTCTTCGCACTTTCGCCATACACAATACAACAGTAATATATTTTAAAAGTAACGTAAGTTTAGAATTCCGATGCAGTGTTAAGCGTTGGCAGAACAACGTTTTTATTTTTTTCAGACTTTTTAGTTCATTATATTAGTGTTCAGTTTTCTTAGTAAGATAGCTTACAAAACTCTTTTCTAGTCTTTTTAATGTTTTGTGCATTCACTTTATTTACTTAATACCACGTTCTTCACCCTTACGCCTCATAAAATTAAATTCAACAAGATCATAAAATATTTAAAAACACCATATTTTTACGATTTCCGATAGAAATCTGGCATGCTGGAGATAAAAATGTTTTACTCTGCACAGTGTTCTCTGCACAGTTTTCATATTTTCGAGTTTGCTAATCAAAATTTCAATTTGTTTGCTAATTAAAATTTTACAAAATATGAAATAAATAACGAAAAATATATTATGTGGTTCTATGAATATATTGAGTATTTTTAATTAGATAGTTCAAAGTAAATGCATTTTACTAATTAAATCAATCCAATTCAAAAATAAGAAACGTATATTCTTAAGAACTTCATCTGTTGCTTTCAGATAGCTTATTCTATTAATCCACAACAAACAGATTCAGTTTGAAAGATAAATTACATTTTGCCGAATGACAACAGATTCGAATGAAACGTGAAAAGACGCATTTTTGTAGTGATTCGACGCAAATCCCATTTAAAGACTAATATCCCTCGTAGTTAGGTAATAATATTAATAAATTTTAAAAATCTGAAAGGAGTCAGATTTTAAAGATTGCCCTAAAGGATATATTAAAGTTTAAGTTCTCACTCAGCTAGCAGTCCACCAGTCTGTTGTTACACTCACTCCTGCTATCCCATTCTTTTTAGCTCTATTATTAACCACCGTTTTCTTCGCATTTACGCCATATACAATTGAAAAGTGGAAGTACAAATATCTTAAAAGTAACGCTGCAGCATATGTTTAAAATTAACGATGCAGTGTTAAGTATTGGCATACAATTTTCTATTTTTTCAGTCGTTTTCAAGTTCATCAGATGAATTTCAGTTTTGTTAGTAAGATAATTGGCAAAAGTTGTTTTTATTATTAACGTTTTGTGTGTGACCTTTATTTATTACATATGATGTTCTTCACACTTACGCCGCATAAAATTCAGTGCAACTGCAAAATCACACAATATTTAAAAACAACACATATTTAGAATTTCCGACAGACAGTCTCGCGGGCTGATAAAAATGTTTGATTCCGTACAGTGCTGCTCGCTATCAGATTGTTGAGTTTGTTAATCAAATATTCATTCAAGTTTTACAAAGTATGAAACGTAAAATCCGAAATTCAAAATTCAGACTTCCAGGTGCGCATGTTCGGGTGGAGGAATGTGTTACATAAAATTTTATGCTCTCCGTTATTTATTCCCAATGCGAGAAACATACATACATACATGGATATTACATACATACGGATATTATATACATACGGATATTTTTCATTATTTTAACTTTTTTAAAAGTAATTCCGGCCGATAATATTTGATAGCAACAATTTGAAAAGTAATTCGCCGTTTATAGTGGTTTCGAGACTAATAGTCCACTGGGCTAATATTAATAATAGTAATAATCATAATAGTATTAATAATAGTAATAATAATAATACAACAGAAAATAAATAAATTAACTAAAATGCAACTGAGTTTTCTTAACTGCTTAAAGTCAGGTGACATATATGACACGGTAAATTATTATAATTTCTCGTTAACTGATTTTGAATTTCAATTTTATTTGCATTAAGTAGAGATGGTATTTATATTGACTTACTTGGTACAATGTGCAGCTTTTCTAATTTATCCAACATGCTGGGTACAAGGAAACAGTACCCTGCTTTATACTTTGCAATTAAGTCCCACATGTTGATTCCATCTCTTATCCAGTAAGGGCTACCGCAGTACAAAACTACCGTTATGCCTAGCGCTAGACATGGAGTGAAGCAATCCCAAACGCTCCAACCCACCTGATACACATAAAAGAATCCAATATTTATCCTATTAATTACATTTGTTCACAGAAAACACAAATTCGCATAACAATAATATGCATTACATTATTTTTTTAATTTCCAATGGCAAAGCAAAAAGTTACAAAGAACTAAAATCTTATAAACAGATGTTACGAACAATAGAACTAAGAACAAAAAGACCAAAATCAGTCTAAACAGCTTTCTTCCAGTATCTCGACTCTAGGACCATGACTATAAGACCACGATAGCTCCACATCGGAGCAGATGGTCCCTGTCCATTTCTTCTCCAGAATGACAAAGTAGGCAAATAGGATCGCTTGAAATTCCTATGCGATGCAGGTAGGCGGCAAGGCAATCATGTCCTGTAGACAGACGGAAAGCCGCAACTGCATTGCGTCTTGGACAATCGGTAATAAGAAAAGGACTTAACATTCTCCAACTTTTTTAAGGCTGTACGAGCTTGAAGATCTCGTAAGATATTTAATGTAAATAAATTTTTGAAAAACGATTTAATCCTCCAATAAGAAATGGCTGTATTATTAGGATGCTGTAGCAAGCTGGCACCTTTATTTGCAAGGAATTCCGCTTTTCCATCGTCCCCAAAACCACAGTGTGACGTAGATCCACCTCCTCGTGGTGCACCCTGGAAAGACTTTGTGGCAAAGTCATCTACAGTTTTGGCTTGCAGCCTTCCTACTCTTCCTCCATGCATCACATTATTTATTGAGAAATATGTATTTACATTGTGACATTTGTGAGATTTATCAAATTAAACTTGATGACAATTCACGATATGGAGGATTTCATTCAACACAGTGGCATGATGCCAAATATGCTGCATTAGTGATAGGCATTCGTATAGATTATTCAGGCACGCAATTCAGCATAGTACAAAGTTGTTTCTATTGACTTTGGCAGAGACATTCCTCTACAGAAACGGCATTAATAAAAGCAATAAATAAATCACGAGTTTTTATTGCACAAACAGGAAGCTCACGATGTGACATTTGTCATCCCCAATGCAGAATTGTTTATTGCCATTGTGTTTACGCGATCAAGTATCAGTGCAGAATGTTATCGCAAAAGCACCGGACCTGTTAGTATATCACGGAACCCGTTAGGAATCTTTTACGAAGGGTTAACTATGTTCTTGTATTATAAGAATTTTACATAGTACACATTGTCGCTCAGAGAGCTAATACAACTACTGACCGAAATTCTGACCTTCAAGCTTTCCTACAATAATACCAATTTAAAAAATGAATTATTAACACCCTTATTTAAAGTAAAAATTAATAAAACGTGTAGCCGAAATTTGGAATAGGATTTAATGGAGTAATTAATTAATTAGAGAAAATTCAGTTTGACTACGCAGCAATATTGAAGCTTATGTGACTAGGAAAAAAAGCCACTCTCATAATAATAAAATAATGTGTAACTCCTTCAGATGCTAAGTGAGGAAACTCTCCAAGACACATTGCGAGCTTCCCTGTGTGTCTAGGTAATCAGAAATATGGCTTCTTGTTGGACACAAATTTAGTGTTTTACTGTGTAATGTGCCGCCCAGAGGGTATGGTAGTTAGGGGAGCCTACTGCAGTACCAAAGCGCGCGAGTTCAAAAGAAAGCATGGATGTTTGTAAATGTACAGTGTCTGTGCTGCATGGGAGCACTCTAAATAGATGGCGATCCAAGTCCTCTGGAGAGGATGATGGTAGCGAAAGAGGAGTGGGAGAACTTTGGACTCATTTACCCAACTGGGGCATGGTTTTTGAGTTCGAACATTTGACTTTCTGGGACTAGCAGCATTACCCGTTTTATCCTAGTCATGATACTAGAATGAAACAAAGCGATCCGACGGAAACCATATTTCTGACTCGACTTCTAAAGTGAAATCAGCTGTGGAAGTTAACTTTCCAAAGCGGAATTCCTTAAGACATAAGTTAGTTTCAATCTTCGCATTTGCCTGCCGTTTTTAAGTGTCATTAAAATAAAAATCTGCCTTAAACGTGTTTTCTTTATTCAATAATTTCTTTGAAACTTTTCTTTAATAGTACTGTAAGGATTATGTTAATTTTATTAACAGTTAAATTTTAAGTGAAAGTTCCTTTCCTGTCAAATTCTTAACTTCAACTTACTACTTCCGGCCAGAACGTAGTTTTGGAATTTGCTGAATATTTAATGAGAAGGAGCGGTATTTAAACCACGAAGTTACTTACCGAGACAGAGAGAGAAACAGAGTTTCTGAACTACGCGCGTCTGCCTTTTTGGCCGCTATCTCTCTCAAAGCTGTTATACGTTCGGCCGTACTCAGGCCCTTGCTAAGCTTCGTAGTAAAATAGGTTAAGGGGCCAACTCTCATTGTACCTTGATAGCTTTGGCTATACTTAGTTAGTTAATCTTAGTTTTAGTTTAATTCTTAGTCTTTTAAGTTCAAGTCCAAAGTGCGGACTTTATTTGTTCACTCCCAGGCGGAGTTTTGTTAAATCTTGTAGAAATAATAAAGGGTTATTTACCCTTCTCTCTTGTTGTTTCCTGTCTTCGAACTCTAGCGATTATTCGCATATCAGTTCCTAGGTTCCTCACTTCCAACATTAGAATTTCAAGTGACGAACCTTACAGTACTAAATACATTTTCCTGCGGTATATTAGAATCAACTCGCTGTTTTTAAAAGCAATAAATGGTTCATCATTTGCCAATATTATTTTCATTTATCAAAAGATCTATCTGCAAATTTTCTTCGCTTTATATCAGTTTTTTAAAACTAAATCATAAATGAAACGCTACATTCTTCAGACAGAAACCACAGAGCTCTGTTATTTCAGTAATAAACTTAATAGTTGTTTAGATCGCAATCATTGGTGTCAATACTAAAGTTTTCATTTATGCTTAAGACTTATTATAGTTTGAATTATAATTCATAAAGTTGTTTCTAATTTAATTAAACTGAATCTTAGAGAATGTTTTTAAATTCGTTTATTTATAGATTTATTCATTTGAATTAGGGATTGTTCTTTAAGATGATCTTATAAATATTGAGAAAGATCATTACCGGACACCAGTTGAAAACGGCGTTTCCGCTCTTCAAGTTATAATCAAAAGCAATGTTTTCGAACTCCGATATTAACATCTGAAAGAAAAAGGAGCATAAATTTGTTAAATCATAGGGGTGGGTTTGAAATCAAAAATCAACTCTCTGTTATATAACTCTCCATCTTCGTTATTTCACATAATATGAAACAACGAAAGTAGTTGACAACAAAATTAGAAACTTCCAATATATTTTTAACGACTCTTTACTATCGCTACCTGACTTATTTTTTAGAGTCTGAACGCAATCTATCAGCTATTTTTCAAGAAATATCAGTATGAAGAATGAGAAATTTAAGAATTAATCTCGAAATGAGCAAGTTTTTTTTTTCTTATTAATACCTAAATTTGATTGAGAGATTGTGTTTCGTGGTTTAAAGCAAGCAATAGACAGTGAAATTTGATCTGTCTCTTTGCGAATTATGCGTGTAAAGGTATGGAGATGTTATACTTATTAAAGGATAGTGAATACTGTATATTCGTATACGTTTAGTATTTTTATTACAGAGAATTAAATTTTACAACAAGCATTAAAAATTAGATATCGTATTCAAAAAACATACTCACTATAAAATTCAAGTCTCTTTCATAAAACTTCCTATCTCCTTTTGATAAATTGTATAACTCTGTAAGTTTAAACCATAATTACACGTAATATTCGATTAAACTTCCTGGATTATCAGGCAAATTTTTGCCACTTCTTAGTGATCAACATACACACGTACAAGAAAAGAATTTTCTTTTTCTTTAATTAAAAAAAAAATGTGAAAGCTTCCAGATTTTATATTACGTCCAAAGGAACATTTTTTAACGTTTTATGTGTTACTTTTATTTATTAAATGTCATGCATGTTCTTCGCTCTTAAACCATAAAATTCAATAACAACAATATCATAAAATATTTAAAAAGAACATGTCTTTAGAATTTACGATACACAGTTTCGCGCGCTTGAAATAGAAATGCTTTTTAACACAGTGTCGCCATTGCTCGCTTTGAAATCGTTGAGTTTGTTAATAAAAAATTGCTTAAAGTTTTGCAAAATATGAAATAGATATTAAAACAAATTCCAAATTTGGGCTTCCAGATGCTTATATTCGAATGAAGTACTATGTTATTCAAAATTTGATTTCTCTAGGTACCGTTGTTTTTTCATACTGCGAGAAATATACATACATTCATGCAGCTTCTTTATTATTTAATTTCTTTAAATATAATGCAGAGCTGTTATACTTGGTGGCAACAATCTGAAAAGTGAAACATCGTTTCATAGTGGACGACGTAAGGTGTCGAAACGAAATTAATAGTCCTTTTGGACAAATTGCCCCTTTGATGAAAATGGATTTAAAAAATTTACTTTTTTGCAGTTTGGCTTGCACTTAAAAAAAATTAAAACGTGAACAGAAACCTGGCATCCGCTTATTGTTGGCTGATAGCGCAATGGTATTTCAAATTTTTTACAGGGAAAAAATAAAGGTTCACAATCAGCATAGTAAAATGGTAGCCTTAGAGTTATAGCTTCTAAGAATGTCAACACTCATTTACTTAAATTACATTTTCACTCACTGTTTATATTCATTTAGCGTTGAAGACACGTTCAAGTGCAAGAAAGAATAGCCATAATAAGTGACGTGTTAGAATAAAACTTACAATTGGAAATTAATGTCTGCCAGCAACAATTTACGAAAATACGTTCTGAAGCTACCTTTCATAGAAATCATTCATCAAATACATTCATTTTATGCAACGGAATAGAGAACGAATTATCTTTTCGATTTTGGCTTTTTAAAAGAGCACTGTACTATTATTTATTAAAATTATTCGAGAAAATTATATTCTTTGCATAGTCCAAAAATCTGTCAATAATCTGTCAAATCACACTATAAAGTTCCGAATATACGTAAATTATTACCCCTGCTGAATGAACTAGGCCCTTTGGGAGGCCTGTGGTACCAGAGGTAAAATTTAGAAAAGCGGGATAGTTGAAAGGAAGTTGCTCGAAAACTATGTCAGGAATGCTACCATCAGGATTTCGACCGCTTTCCACAAACTCCTCTAAAAAGATACTTTAAAAAAGAAACGTTAACAAAGAGAAGTTAAATTTCATAACATTATAGATAATTGTGCATTATATTAATTACATTAGAGTGCAATTTAAAGTATAATTATTAGAGCACATAGGTATTAGACTACATTAGAGTATTAAGTATTACAGTACATTAGAGCATAATTATTAGAATGCAGTATTTTAATTCCATTAGAGTTTTAAAATAAAACTGACGGAAAATGTATTATGTATAAAACGGCTACATATACATTTTTCGTTTAGGTTTTCATAATCTTTTTAACGATTAGTGAAATAGTGAAGCAATCTGACAGAATCTGGCTGAATGTTTATTCAGAGAGAGAATCTGAACGTAATCTGAATCTAATATAAAATATATATAATGTAATATATATATATATATATATATACATATATATTTATATATATATATATATATCTATATAATATATATATATTAATTTATTATCTATATATATATATACTAATAGTAGGTAGATTGCAGTGATTGCAGTGATCTTGCTAAAATGTTACCAGGAGCTGCAGCTCCACGAAATAGTTCAACGCTGTACGACTAAAATATGAACTAAAAAGAATTAAAAAAAAAAAATCTGGAAAAACTGTAAACACGCGAAAAAAACCGTAAAATTAATGTTGGAAGACATGCAAATGCATGAAAAAATATCTGACCGTTCTAAATTTTGAGACCAAATGGGTCTTACGTCTCATTACTAGTTAGCTTTACAATTTTTCTATATATATATATATATATATATATATATATATCTATTGTTTCAGAAGAAAATAGTAAAGTTAAATTAAATTTAAATAATTCTCTTTCGTCATTGCTGCAAGGAATGAAATTTTGAATTTAACAAATATTCTCTATTCGTATAAATAAATAAAATTTTTCTATTCGTATAAAGCAAATATAAAATAAAAATTTAAAATATAATTAAGAAATTAATTGCAAAGAAAAAAATAAAAATAATTATTATTACTGCGAACTAATTTACAATATCATTTAAATTCTAAGAATAATTAAAATTTAAATGATATTGTAAAAGCAAATATAACGTATAAAGTAAATGTACTAATTTACAATATAATTTAAATTCTCTAAGTATTCTTAGGATTTATATTTAATCTATTCTTAGGATTATCATTTAAATTTTCTATTTCTTAGTTAAATTTTAAATTTTTAATTTTATATTTGCTTTATACCAATAGAGAATATTTGTTAAATTCATCTGAATATATTCTCTAATACAATATATATAGTCTCTAATCTAGTTATAATATATCTGAATATAATCTGACCGAAGGTTTATCGCAGTGTAATTTGAATCTAATATAATATATATCTATACTCTAATATATATATATATATATATAGTCTCTAGTATATATATTCTCTAATCCAGCGGTCGCCAACCAGTGGTCTACGGGCCACCATGAAACCTTTTTGCTGGTCCGCAAAAAAATTGGGACATTATTTATATTTTTATGAAGATTCGGTTAAAAAATTGACGAGTAACAAAACCTATGATGGAATATGGATTATACGTTTGACATCCATGGATATGCTGCTGTTATCAATATTAGAGCCAACTGGAATGCCTTTTCCTTTTGAATTACAAATAAATGCTCCTGTAGTCGTTAATAACACAGTTTTTCTCCGTGTCAATAGGCAACTTGATGGATTTTTATAAGAACCATCTGCATTCTTGTTTATAATTGCATCACTAGAAGTTTCCGTTTTAGTTTTGTCTAACTGTTGATCAATGGTGCCATTGCTGAGTAAGTGATAATTATTTTGTTTACAATAATTAAAAATTGGTGGCATAACACTTTCAGTTTATTAATAGTGCTTTGCGTTTACTGTTTTGTTCTTGCTTTTCGTGAAGTTCCTTTCCAGTGATATGGAAATGGGAAGCTTTCTGTACAGAAAGGTAAGATTTTTTGTACTTTTCATACAATTTTTCAATGTGAAAAGAATATGTGTAGTTTGCTGATTATTATTGCATAAATGTGTTTTGTGTTTATCTTTTTTAAAAGTCATACTAGTTGTCCGCCAAATATAAAATTATATATGCAGTGGTCCGTGAAGTTCTAAGGGTAACGACCGCTGCTCTAATCTAATATATCTGAATATAATATGACAGAAGACTTATTCCGATATAGACATTCTGAATATGATCTGTATCTAATATAATATACATATTATCTCTAATATAATACATATAGCCTCTAATGTAATACATATAGGCTCTGATCTAGTATAACATATCTGAATATAATCTGATCGAAGGTTTATTCCGAGATAGACACTCTGAACATAATTTAAACTAATATAAAATATAGTATAAAATTCTAATATAATATATAGTCTCTAAGCTAGCCTAAAATAACTGAATATATATATATTCTCTACTATAATATATATAGTCTCTAATCTAGTATAATATATCTGAATATCATCTCACAGAAAGCTTATTTCAATACCGTACATTTTCCTGTATAAGCCGAGACATTTTTAACATAGGTTCCTATTATGCACGTTTGGGGTTCATAGCTTAAAGCACCTACGTATCCTCATGTTTTCCTCTTATTTTACAGCACCTACGGATCATACACCAGACAAAAAACTTTTACGTTTTCTCAAGTTATATACAAAATCATAATATTCCTTATTGTTTTGAGCAGTACAATTTTGAATTTGTTTTATAATGAGTTCCCAGTTATGGTTGAATTCTTGCAGTAAAACCTTACTTCTCGGCTTTTACAAGCATCGTTTCACAATAGGGAATATAATGTATATCTTTCTTTTTTGGCAGATATTACGCATTTGAACACAATTTATAATATTTCACTGAAAATGATCCAGATAAAAATTTTCATAAGTAATAAATTAAGTAATTACCCGTTTCTAATGTGCGAAATGCCACTGGTCACTGTCTCTTCCTTGGAGGGAATAATAATTACCTTCTCAAGTGTTGGACAATCTAAAAATATACATGAATAATTATTCCTGAATCGGTTATTAATACAATATGTTTAACCTGTTAAATGAGACAAATAAATTTTATAATACAAAATTTAAGTTTCCACTTCTCAACTTCGAACATTACGAAACCACACAAATGTTACTTCATACAGGTGTCATTAGTGTAGTATAATAGTACCTTTAACCACCAGGCCATATTTTTTTCCTTATAATTTATACATATGAAATAAAATTTGGAATATGAAAAATTCCAATTTCCTGCATGTTAGGAATATGGTAATGAATTATGTGTGCAGAATTGTTATTATTTTTAAATATTTTTCAAAAGTTCTTTTCTTGAAAAATGCTTAATCGATATTTTTCACTCGCCGTTTTAAGTCTCTTTCTTTTTGAAACAAATTTCTGTCGTTTGCTAGGTTTCTGCGTTTGTTGCTGTAGTCTCCCGGTGCAACCTGTTAGCAACGATGAGAACTTTGGCGCCGTAAAGCCCCAGTGTCTTTCTTTAAAGATGGTATTTGACCACAAGGGGAGGGGACGCGAATTCGGAACTACTGCATAGAATCTAAACATTTTGCTGACAAGCGCCCTTCAGAAGTTCCAATAGAACAAGTCCTAAAGAACTATACAAAAAATTTAAGTCAGATTCCAAAAACTGATACACATTTAGTAATAAAAATTTGACTTAAGGTTATAACAATTATATTAATTTTTAGTATTAAGATATACAGGGGTTGGACAAAAATATGGAAACACCTTTAAAAAAACATGTTTCTTTGCTTAATATGGTGTAGGAAACCCGTTGGCATCCAAAACAGCTTGCAGTCTTCTCGGAATGCATAAATACAGTTCCTGTATGTTTGCCAAGGGAATATTACCTGCAAAACGGTGGCAAGTTCAGATAACGATGTTGGCGGTGGATAACGAGAACGCACTTTCCGTTCCAATGTAGATCAGAAAGGTTCGATAATATTCAGATCTGCTGACTGTGGTGGCCAGGGGAGATGCGACAACTCCTTGTGCTCAGAAAACCAGTCCTGGACAATGTGAGCTGTGTGAACAGGGGCTTTGTCGTCTTGGAAGACACCATCACCATCGAGGAACAAAGTTTGTACCATGGGATGAACTTGATCGGCCAAAAGATTCACATAAGTCTTGGCAGTCATGTGCCCTGACACAGTGATCATGGGGCTAGCAGAGAACCACGATATGGCTGCCCAAACCATAACAGAACCCCCGCCATGTTTCACTCTTGGCAACAAGCAGTCTGTATTATAGGCTTGAGATGGCATTCTCCAGACGTAAACTCGGCCAGAAGTGGGAAACAATGTGAAAGAAGACTCGTCAGAGCATATTACTCGCTTCCACTGCTCTATAGTCCAGGCTTTATGACTTAAACACCACCTTTTCCTGTTACGGGCATTAGCATCACTGATGAGTGGCTTCTCAATTGCAGCAAGGCCAGCAATTCCCTGTTTATGAAGCTCCCTTCTAATTGTTTTGGTACTCACAGGGTTCGGTAACACAACATTCATTTCAGCAGTAACTTTTGCAGCTGTGGTCTTCTTATTTTTCGGGCCCACCAGCGGCCGAGCGGTAAAGTCGCTGAACACTGGTAGTTAGGTCCGAGGTTCGAATCCCGCGAACGGGCTGGCTGCATGGGCGTTTTCGTGGTTTTCCCCATGTGTAACGTATATACGAACCAGTTTCCCTTGGAAAGTCCTCCACGAAGGCATCCCTCCCCTTAGGCAGATAGCCCTCGAGATTTTGCCATAATCACACACACACACACACACACACACACACACTTCTTATTTTTCGTCACAATTGCCCTTAATGATCGTCTGTCACGATCACTCAGGACACACTTTCGTCCGCGCTGTGATTTAGCAGATGATGTTTTTCCGCTTTTCAAATATGCGGAATAAATCTTCGATACAGTACCTCTTGAAACACTAAACACCTCGACTACCTTGCTTACGGAAGCACCTACCATACGTGCTCCAACAATTTGCCCACGTTCGAAGTCTGTTAACTCTGACATAATGCAATGACAACCTCACATAACAGTACTCCGACAACAGCTGAACTGTTTATCACATTTACGAAGTTGTATAGGTGGCGTCAGTAGTCAAAAACGCCAGCGCCACCTACATATTTCGTTAAAATCAATCTTTCTTTGCAAACATGCATTTCACAAGGTGTTTCCATATTTTTGTCCATCCACTGTAATTTAGTTACAAACTTATAAGAGATAGACCCGTTTGCGTTGAAAACTTTAAATGGGTTTGTATTTAGTCTAAACACTTAAGTAATTGTTTAATTTAAGTGATTGTAAATTTAGAATTTGTGCACACTTTCCATGTTAATTTTGCTCTGTTTAAGTGTTTTAATTAGTTACTTTGTTATTTTATTTAGTTCCGTTTTAAGCGTGTTGCGCTAATATGTATAATTATTTTATGTGCTAAATACATTGCATACATCTTATTGTCATACGTATAATATTGAATATTATTCTGTAAACATAAAAAGCTATTGTATATGAGCAGAACCTCTGCCACCCTCCATACTTATGCATTAATCTGTTATTAATATACTCCTCTTACAGCGTCCTTAGAGAACTCATAGGAGGTGTTAGTATCTCCAGATAGTACAAGGACGTGGAATAAATACTTGCTTACTCCTGTTAGACATCAGGTATCTCCATCTTCCATCAACTGTCATCTGCCAAACGCATGTTTCTTTATATTGTAGATATCTGAATCTATTTCTAACACAACACCTGATGTATCATTGGAACAGCTATAGAATTCCCTGCCAGGACATTTAATGCAATACTGCAGTGCATAACGGTTATAGCCATTTCGAATGCTTTGCCGTAATCAAAGAAACCAATCTCTGGGCTAGGAACATAAGGAAGGCCAGATGAAAATTTCTTCTGTTGAAAAGAAAGAGATACAAAGGATAATTTTCAGTTACAAGAATCTTCTGTATAAGTGAAGGCTAGATTAATTTTGTTTATCTAAAGTGAAAATTTATTTAATTAGAAAAGGAGATTCCAATCATACCTAAGCAATAATTCCAATAAGCTGAGATAAACAGAATGGCTGAACTGTACAACTAGACTGCGATGCATTTCTTTTAGACTTTCTTGAAAAGGAAAGAAACTAGTTTAGATAACTTCTCGAAACTTGGACCTTCCATGAAACCAAAGGTTCTAGAAGGACAAGGAAAACTGTGTCTTTAATCATTATGGTGCACTGGGACTTGAATTTGATACGCGGATAGAGTTACTAAGCCAGCTTAGAGTATATTTAAATTATGTAGTCTTTGATTACCGCCTCGTTTAATTTTAATTAGCTACCTTGACTACAACTGTGTAGGCTTTGTTACTGTCTCGTTTAATTACGGCCTGCTTTCCGTACTCGTTTAATTGCTACCTGCTTTGAATACTTTGATTACTATTACTGTAGAATTTGAAAACTACTTTGACTACTGCGTACTTTTTTTCCATTTTTCTTAAGCCAAGAGAGAGTTGAATGGAGATACAGATTAGAGGAGAAGAAAGTGAGGTGACGTTTCTAAATCGAAAAAAGGAGCGAGTACGGACAACATTGATCATAAAGCTAAATTCCACTTAGCAATACTTAGCAACCAAAAGCGTGGCCAACAGCGTAGCTTTGTCGCAACAATACTTCATGCAAGAGATTGATATTAACACTTCGACGGTTGCAAGATTAATCAAATAACTCGAAATTCTTTCTTCCCAAATACGCATACACATATTCAGTCATAAATCTGTAATGCGAGCTGCGTATTTTTGAGTCTACTGCGAAGCGTACCTGGAATGCGAGCTGAGCTCGTTGATGACTATCAAAAGGTAAGCACATACCCATAGGAAACATAGAGGAAACATAAGGGTAAAATAAATATTGTTATATGTTATATGCACTTTTAAAAAGCGCTGTTTCGTCTGCAGGGAATTATGACATATGTAGCAGTGAGAAAAGGGGATTTAAGACTAGGACGTCTAGGTATTAACCGCTTAATGACCGAATTTACACTTGTTACCATAAATTAAGGAAAAATCACAAAAATAGCGATAACTCCCTCAAAAATAAGGCAATCCGTGTAAAATTTGAATATGTTGCCACGGAAGAGTAGCTGAGTAAAACTGCGATATGCGAATTAGTGGCGCTGCTTTCGGAATATGTCTTCTGCGAGGAGCATAAAAGTCCATGTTTGAGAGCAAGCCCACATATTTCACTGTGATAGTGACATCAGAAATCTGAGATAGCCAATTCGTAACAATGACCTCCAGGCATCATTTGCCTGCAGAACTGCGATGGAGAGCCATTGGGAGCCATTGGGAGACTAGCTGTTGACCAAGTCAAACAGAAGTAGCCGGACGGCTAAATGTGAGTCCTTCTGTGGTTCATAGACTTTGAAGGCAATTTCAAACAACAGACTTGGCATCTAGGAGGTTCAGCCAAGGACGGCCAACGACGAGCGCCGATGACCGATATTTGACATTATGTGCAAGCTGGTATAGCACCGGTACTCCGACTCTTCTTAGATCCTCCCTTGCTGCAGCCACCGAAAGGTTCGTGTCAACGTCAATTGTGCGTAGAAGGCTTCACGAAGGTGGTCTGTATGCGAGGCGACCAGCCATTTGTGTGCCACTCACGTCATAGAAGGGACCGTTTTCAGTGGGCACGACAACATGTCCACTGGACGCCCGATCAATGGAGGGCGGTTATCTTTACGGATGAGTCCAGGTTTAGTCTAGAAAGCGATAGTAGGCGTCATTTGATATGGAGAGAACATAGAACCCATTATCATCTGTCAAACATCCGTGAAAGAGATGCATACGGAAGGGGCAGTGTCTGTGTTTGGGGTGGCATGTCTTTGGGTGGACGCACAGACCTCCATGTCTTTCCAAGGGGAACCGTGAATGCTCAGATTTATAGAGATGACATCCTTGATGTTTATGTGCGCTCATATGTCGGGGCAATAGGTGATGCTTTCCTGTTACAGGATGACAACGCAAGACCACACAGGGCTCGCATCGTAGATGATTATCTTCAACAGGAAACAATTATGCGCATCGATCCCCGGACTTGAATCCTATCGAGCACGTTTCGAATGCTTTAGGGAGACGTCTAGCTGCTCTCAATCCGGCCCCTCAAACCCTTGTCGCGCTTGCAACTGTTTTGTAAGAGCAATGGCTCTCGCTTCCTATGAAACTGATAGACCGCATAATTGAAAGCATCACACATCGCTGTATGTGCTGTACTGCTTCTAGAGGCGATCATATTCTATATTGAAGGCACTTTTCCTATAGCAAACTGACACCTTAGATTTGTTCATTTTATGCATGTGCTAATTTCTATACTACCATATTTATCTGGTAATTTCTTTTTATGTTATTTGATACCTTACTATGTGTTGTATATTGTGGGTAAGTTTCATTAAATTCTACATGTAACTTTTTCAGTAATCGTGATTTTTCCTTAATTTATGATAACCAGTGAATATTAAAAATTATGCCGAAAATCCCTGACTTTTTAATACCATTTTTATTATCTACAGATATAACTCACGAGATGTAGCTTTGTAAGGCTAGAAAAACAATTTTTTGAGGGAAAAACAAAATATTTTTTATGGTTACATTACCCGAGTTAATTCGGGCTTCAATTAAGCAGCAAAAAACAAATTTTTTTCGAGGGAAAAGCAAGATATTTTTTATGGTTTATAACATTACCCGAGTTAACTCGGGCTTCAATTAAGCAGCCAAGAAAATCTAGCCAAAGGTAATACAGAACTGAAGTCTAGGTAATAACAGGTAAAGTAAAAATCAAGTAAATACGATTTACGATCTATAAACGTCACTGACAGTATGGTACAGTCTGAAAAGATGGTGTAATACATAGCGGCACATCACAGTCTGCACAGTACCGCCGTCACCGCTTGAAGGTAATCATTTCCAGCGGGTAACGACAAAAGCCGCTTTAACCCCTCCCACAGCTAAGAAAACACGTGCATGGCAGAATGTCGGTGAACCAATTACAAAAGCCGCTTGGACCTTTCCTACAGCTAAGAAAACATGTGCATGGCAGATTGTTGATTGCCACGTGATATTACGAGCGGTGGCATTAAATATCCATGAAATTTTCAGCCCCGAGTTAACTCGTTCGTAGAAAAATCGGAACGGCATCTATTCCCAAGATATCTCGGGCGCGGTTGTTAAACAGTTAAAAGTACTTCATCAGAAACACCAAGGTTTCGCATTTTATGCACATTCTGTAAATTTGCTGTAACAAAAGTAATCTTTACATAAAAATATATAGATAAGCAAACACATATTTCATTTCATAAGTATTATACTTAAAGATGCACATAATACTCACTGTCCACTATAATCGGTACATTTTCTAAAATGTTAAAATCCACTCCATTGTCTTGGTGATGGTCTACAGTGATTAAAAACTTAGGTTCCATCCTAGCAATAATATTTGATGCTACCTAAAATGCAAGGAAAAACACATACAACGAAGTCTCTTCAAAGTATTACTTATTTACTTTTCTGTTAATTTTTACCACTTTATTAAGGGACAAATCAGGGATTGCCGCAAGGCTATGAATAAGTTTTAAGTTTCGCAATAAAATACCGGTATCTTTAAAACGGCATGTAGACGCTGTTTTATGAAAAATATATAAGTTATATTATGTTAAAAGAAAGTTATGTTATATGTAAGTTACATAAGAAAACTGTGACACACAAAAGAAAGAGTTACCTGATTGTAACGAAATTTCGTATGCGAGAACCTATCAATTCAAAATGCAGATGAATAATATTTTATCAATGAAAGATCAACGAATAAATAGCTGAAGTTGTAAAACTTGGCAGCTGAGCATTCACTATTGTGTACAGAAAAGGAAAAATTTCAATTTTAGGCCATAACATCCATTCAAATTTAATATGAACATATACTATGAATATACTATACATATACTATGAATATATACTACCAGTGAGATGAACATACACAGTTGAATTAGAATTTGCAGCTGTTATGAAGGAAGCAGGTTGGTCTAATCGTAGGATCGCTCGACACATGTTTAGCGTTACCGCCATTATACGATGTTGACAGGAATTATTAAACCACGGCAGAGCACACAGCATGCAGAAGGCAACAGAACGTGAGGACAAAACGGTTGTCAGATCGACTTTCTAAGCATCAAAATTTGTCATTATACGTATAAAAGAAAGATCAATGGTCGCAATGACCATTGTCAAGCGACTCAGAGAACGGAGTCTGCGCTGCCCATTGCCTTGAGTACTCCTCACCTTCGCATACCAAAAAATGCGTTTACAATGTTGCCGGGCTCGTTCGACCTGAAATCTCTCTTACGGGAGTAGAAGTGTTTTCCGTGATGAATCCCATTCAGCCGCGATAACAAAGGAAAACACCCAGAATAGCAACTGATCTGAATATTACTTGTCACACAGCCCGATATCATGGAGTTACGATCAGCGGAGCTTTTCATTTGATACTTCCGTCTCTTCGGCTGTTGTCATTGGCATTCTTACAGCACGGTGGCACATTAACGATATTCTAGTACCCATTGTGTTGCTCAACTGTTCGAAGCACCCCGGATTGTATTTAAATAAGATAATGCCCGGCCGCATATGACTTCATTTCTACTGGCTGCATTTGCGCTTCTTTTGCCAGCTTCATTTTCAGATATCTCTCCAATACCTCAAGTTAGGCCCACCAACGGTCGAGTGGTAAAGTTCCTGAACATTGGTAGTTCAATCCGAGGTTCGAATCCGGCGAACGAGCTGGCTGCATGAGCGGTTTCGTGGTTTTCCCATGAGTAATGTGTTAACATGAGCCAGTTTTCCTTAGAAAGTCTTCGAAGGCATCCTCCCGCGTAGTGCCTTAAGGCAGAACACATAAATGATAATAATAATAGCATCACACGTTTGGGGACTGTTGAGCAGTCCCCAACGAGCCTCCTGAGATGTCATTGATCTAGCTCGACAACTGGAGAGTTTGGAGACAACAAAAAGTTATTCACCAACTTTATAAGTCAGGTCTCAGCTTGAAGCTTGCATAAGGGTCAGTGGTAGCTGAATATTTTTCTGATTTATTCACGATATGTCCCTGTGTTATCTGAATAAGTCCTTAAATTAGTCTAAAATGTTAATCTGTTCTTTTCCCTACATATGTATCGCATATAATCACAAAAGAATAAATATTCTCGATACGTCTCTTTTATTCCTAGAGTGTATGTATACTTGATTCCTTAAAAATTTGTTGGTTTATGTCTTTTCCCTTTATTTTTAATAATGTTTATGGGATAAGCCCCAGTTTGCATATGAACCTTTTTTTTAAGAGATTAAGTCACAAGTTAATACTTCACATTTAATATGGTGCCCAACATACTCTTTTTCCATTTTATGAAATAGTAGAAGCACATCGAAACGTTACACCAACTAATATATAAGATATTTTCTTTCCAAAGTGTGATTATCTTAATAGCATTAGTTAAAAGTAACGTATTTTGAAAAAGTACACAGTATAACAAAGAGAACTATAATATGCTGACTAAGGTATCGCAAAATTTAACGTGAATGCCATTTCTAAAAGCACTGAAAAGTTATGTATTCAAATTTTCGATATTTCGATTTTCGCATCTCCATCTATTTATCTTTTTGTCATTGAATCGCATATTCTGTATTTTAAAAGTTTCCATTTCCTGTAAATTAAGATATTCGAAGCATCTTTTTTTTCTTTTTATATTCACAGTAATTCAGATACGCAAAACTTTGAATCATTTGTTTTACAGAATTATAGATCTTATATTGTTAGAACATCTAATAATATAACACGACTTAAAAAAGCTGTTCAGGTTGAAAATTCTACTTTCAACTTCAAATTTATGTTATTTCTTTTGAAAAAGTTTATTACATCAGTTAAATATCACCGTATTTCTTTTGAGCATGCTGATAACTGAAGAATTCTGATAAGCTAAGTGTCGCTATTCTTAAGCTGAGTTCACTGTTATTGGAATGGTTAACAGTGCGTGCTCTGTTTAAGAATTAAATTTTGTTCCGGAAACTCTCTTACAAAAAAGTACAGTTTTCTTACTATCATCTTTTTAGGTCAAAATAAGGGATCGTTTAGAAAAGGCAGTAAATATTTCTTAGCCCAAAATTTCGAATTGAAAACTGATAGATGAAGGAAATTATAATGATAACTACTTTTATAACTTAAGGAACTACTTATACTTAAGGGTGCTACTTAAGGAACTACTTCTATATAATAATTATATTAAATCTCTTGTCCTTGGATAGTATAGTCCTGATGAAGGACATAAAAGCTTGATATACAAACTGTAGAGTTCCTCACTTTGGAATTCTAAGTTAATGTTGGAAGTGAAGAATCTAAGAACTGATAAGCGAATAATCGCTTGAGTTCGGTGACAAGAAACTACAAGATAGAAGGGTAACTAACTCTATATTATTCCAATAAGATTTAACAAAACTCCGCCTGGGGAGATTACAAGCAAAGCCCGCACTTGGACTTGAACTTAAAAGACTAAGAATTAAACTAAAACTAAGATTAACTAAAGAAGTATAGCCGAAGCTATCAAGGTTCAAATCGAGCTGGCCCCTTAACTTATTTGACTACGAAGCTTAGCATGGGCATGAGTACGGCCCAGCGTAATAACAGCTTTGAGAGAGAGACTAGCCAAACAGGCAGATGCGCGTAAATCAGAAACTCTGATTCTGAGTAAGTAACTTCATGGTTTAAATACCGCTCCCCCTCATTAAATATTCAGCAAGATTCCAAAACTACGTTCTGGACGGAAGTAGTAAGTTGAAGTTAAGAATTTGACAGGAAAGGAACTTTAACTCAAAATTTAACTGTTAATAAAATTAACATAATCCATACAAAATGATTTGACAAAATAACTCTAATGTGACAAATGCTGTAAGAAATATATAATGCAAATTTGAAGTTTGCAGTTCGTTTCTTTCTATTCATATAATAACTAATTTAATGTAATTAAAGAATTTCTTTTGAGTTAACTGAACTAATATTAATTTTGCTACTTTGTGAAAAACTTGGGGTACATCATTTAAAGAATTATCTAATCGTTGCCACATGTTCTATTCAAATACAAATAAAGCTAGAACGATGTATAAAAGAAATTAAGCAAACAAAACAAAAAAGAAACAGTTTTTCACAGACGATTGAGTATTTCTCATTCAATTAATTCAGTTCTCACTTCGCGACAAGGCAAAAATATATAAAAATTCAAAATATCTGTATTAAAAATTACGAAGTAAATCTTAAACACTTATTTCCTCGAAAAAATTCCAGAAAGGATTAAGCATAATTTAATTCGCAATAATAAATGAAGGCGTTATCTTTTTTGTTGCGAAATTAAGTTTCTCTATATGGGAACAAATCCACTATTCTGCTGTTTCAAATGTAAACAAGCAATGGCCGCCACCAAAAAATTATTAGGCTTAGCGGCACTTAAATAACTTTAAAATTGTTGATAATTCTAAAAATATTACATACAGATTTACTAAAGGCATGAAAACCTTAACCGGAAGATAAGAACAACATAATTCAATCATTTTTAAAGCAAAAAATGTACAATTTACAATCATATAACTAAGTAAAGAAACTGAGATCACCGAGCCGGGTAATAGAGTGGATATATATATATAAATATATTTATATACGTTTGGTGCGGCCGATTGCTACCAAAATACGAGGTGCACATCTACACGTTATAGCAGTCCTATACACAAAATTTCAACATTCTGAGGCTACTCGTTTTTGAGTTATGCGAGATACGTACGTACATACGTTCGTACAGACGCCCCGAAAAATTCTCTTCAGAATTCATTTTAAAGCACTTTTATAATTCTTTGTAGGAAAAGAGTGTTTTATTCTGTCCTTACATACAGATATCACGGAAATACATCGTTAAATTGCATTTGAAAGAGGTCAAAATGGGATCTTTTCGTTGAAATATGCTGCCTGAAACTTTTCGCGATTACAATACTTCCTTTTTACTTCGTACAAGGAAGTAAAAGTGAACACTATCTTAATGGAACTATTTTCGAAGATACGCAACTAAAAAGCGCTCGTGACTGTGTAATAGATGACAGTTTAAAGGAACAGAGTACCTTTTTCCAAAAGGAAAGGAGCATTTAAATTATATTATCCGCAATCAAAATTTTACTGAAATTTTTATTCGAATGATATCAACATCACTTACTCGTGCTCCAAAGTAAGGTTGAGGTCCACCCCATATAGCACCAATGCTGGTTGTTGCCAGCATGGCGTAGACTGCTTCTTTCCTGTTTGACATATGACCTGCAAAGATGCTTTGTATATTTTCGCATCACTACAGGTAAATGCTTTAAAAATTGTGTTTCTAGCTCGCTCTTGATTTTATTTAATTAGTTTGGTAAATATTTGCGTATTTGCCTCAGACTGGAAATTTTAGATTTCTCGAGAATCTTCGTGGAACATCATACCCTAAACATTCAGCAAATTTTCATAACTGTTTCGTATCGGTAAGAGGCTGAATGCTTTTTGACGTATATGTACAAATGTTTTCCATTCTATTATTTTCAGGTCTTTAAAAATTAAATTTTAATGTTTCTTTAGTCTTTTCCTCTTTCGAACTTTGGTAATTATTTTAGTTATTTAACAAATGCTCTTTATCTTGTGGTATAATGAACAGATTTAGTGTCATGGAACGTTTAACAATCATAGTTTTTGAAAGTTTAAAAAAAATGGTAAGCAATTAATAAACAAGTCTTAAAAATATTTTAAAATGTGTTTAATTTCATTACTTTTTTTATTTCCTCTAATTAAATTAAGCCTACATATGGAACTAAAAATCTTTTTCAGAAGATGTTTGTCAAAAATGATATCCTACCAAGGCAGAAACTAAGACGCAGGAAGAAAGTGTTGCCGTTAATATATTGGCATGCACTTTTTTTTAACATCAAATCAAAAGCAGCATTTCCTTTCAACGGTAAATTACAATAATGCGGGTTTATATGAAACTTTGAAATTCATAAAATGGCTGAATACCAGAACTTTAGGTTTGGTTTAGTAATTTGAAATAATTAGGGAACGATATATTAAAAGCATTGCACAAGTGGAATAACTGCATAACAGCATATGCAGAAGAAGTCTTCTTTTGTTAATTAAAATTGTTGAGATAAAATTAACCAGACAGCAAACATTTAGTGTATTATTTCAAGATTTGAAAATTTGAATATTTTCAACATTTGGGACCCTGCTTTTTACTGCCAAATTCTATAAATCTTAATAATTAAAAGCATTAATAAAAGAATATATGGAAGTAAAGGTTAAAGCACCTAAACATTTGTTAGTTATCTTGAAAATAGCACTAATATTTTCAGGCGTATTGTGTTTCTAAAATTCAAAATGATTTTAATAATGTTCACAGGCAATATCCCTGTATATTGTATTTTTAATGCGAATTATGAAATAATACATCTTTGACAGCGGATGCCCTTCTTCGGTCTCATAAGCCTTCGAAGGCTGTGTTTTTAAATTTTAATTATTGATTCTTATATATTTTTTAGCTGAATCCAAAACTTTATTCTTTACCATCACGTCAGAATTTTCCTCAAATCGTAGATTTTTGTTAAAATGTCGAAAGTTTGCGGAAATGTGAGACTTTGAAACAGACATAAAAGTCCAAAAATATTTTCTCTTATAATTTATCATTCTTTGGCTTATTCTGAACATTCTTATAGCAAAATAGTTAAGAGATCTGATGGGGGTAGGCTCCCTTTGGTTTTCTAATGAAAATGCTATAAATGAGATTAATATTTATATTTTATTGCATTTTGAAATTATTTCCACGATTTGTTTCATTTTTAAGAGGTATATTGGACACTTGAATCCTCTCCCTCCCTCTTCTTGTTTCTAAATACACCTGTAACAAATTTTCAGCCAAACTAAAAGAGGGTGTCTTTATTGGTCCATACCTTAGAAAACTCCTCAAAGATGGTAATTTTGAGCAAAATATGGAAGTTGAGAGAATTAAGCCTGGAGAGCCTTTAAAGAAGCAGTAACCAAGTTTCTTGGCAACAAGAAAGAATCCAAGTTTTAAATCAACCCTTGAGAACATGCCGTAGAAGTACAAAAATTTAGTCTGTTCCTGAAGGCTCTTTTTCTAAGCTCACATTTGTACCATTTTCCTGAAAATATGGCTGCCTTTAAAGAAGAGATGAGTGATATTATTCATCAAGGCGCCAAAAATTGCAAAGAAAGTATCAAGAAAAGGGATTTCTTAGATGATGGTTGACTATTGTTAGATGTTACACCGATATAAACTCCATCAAGCACATTAAAAGAAAGGCGCGAAGCAGACATGAACGGGTGCACGGAAACTTCGACACGATAAATGAAATTGTGTGTTTTGCGTGCATTATCTTAGTAATAAGCTAAAAAAATTCTAAGGAAAAAGTTTTAAATATCTTACATTGGGCTTAATTAGGTCACATTTTAGCAATTTTCGACTTGCTACAAATTTTGAAAATTGCGATTTCCAAAATACCTCACATGATGAGAAAAAATTAACATCATTTTCGCATTCTGAGCTAAAAAATACATAGGAATCAATCAATTAATAAAAGCTAATAAGCACGACACAACCCCAAATTTTGCAGGTTTCTGTATTTGATAAATTGTTCTTCTGAAATGAACGGAACTATTTCATATATTTATTATCAAGAATATCATATCGAAGACTATGATAATTCATGACTGACATCTCGCCTTAAATCTATGTCATTATACTATACTTTTAAATGCATTACTCACACGCCACTGTATCTCCTTTTTTCAAGCCATGTTTCCTGAAAGCTGCTGCGTACAGCTTAGCCTCTTCGAATACTTCAGCATAGGTGATAGTCTCTTCGTAACCAGTCTCATCTGTAACATGAAAAGTGTGTTACACTGAGTTCAAACAATTGTTTTGTCTTGATGTAAAATACAGTGATAGTGCAAAAAACCGAATCGAAGATTAATACTAATGTTAGTGCTTCGAAATGGTAAACATAAAATTGCTTTTTGATAGTTAATTGAACATGAATGAGATATCACTAAAATACTCATTAAGTCTCTAAACAATATCCTCGATACTGAAAGCTGGGAATAAAAGAGAAAAAGTGAAGTATTAGATAAATTGATCAGCTACTTCGAACCACCTGATATATGGAAAATAAACTAACATATAAAATTACGCTACATTTTGGTAACGTGAACTCTACTACTATTCTTAGAACTTAAGATTATAACATTAAAAATATTTATGCCACAGTGCGAATGTCACCAATAGCGTCACGAGATGAACATAAAACGGACATACTGATGACAGAGCAACGAAAACTGTGCTACACTGCAAAAACAAATCAAGTATCAAATCATCAATAAGACCTGCTGTTTTCTTCATGATAGCTGTTTTGGGAAGATAACGTCTGTAGATTGCTGCATTTCATCCACAGCGAATTCTCGCTTGATGCTATCACGCAATATAATTCTCTTATTACTGCCCAGACGGGAAAGTGGTTAGTGACTCTGACTGACTGCCGTGCTGAAGGGGCGGCGCTTTGAATCCTGAAGAAGGCAATGATGTAAGTTGTCCATTTCTTCATAGGAGGCAACGATGACTCTCCCATTAGGTGTCTTTATAATAAAGAGTCTACCGCTCCTCCGCGTAGTAGTGGGCGACACTGATAAAACTGCTATAAACGCCTATAAAAAGGAAACAAACTCTCGTATCCTTCCTCGAGTCCATTTTCAATTTCCAGAGGGTTATCCAGCTTAGAGAGCGTATGTTCCCGAGAACTGGCATTATTGCTTGCTGCACATGTTTTCCTAATAATCTCTGGCTTCATTTCTTAGTAGTCTGGCGTTTATGCTTTATCTAACACCAAATTTAGGCGCCAGATCGGGAGGCAGTCAAAGTGTTAACATTCTGAATAGCTTCTTCTTTGATTTTGTCTGACACGGGAATGTCATCTGGGAATTTGGATAAAATATTGCCGCCCAACCGGGATAGTGATTAGTGATTCTGACTGCCGTATCGAATCCCGCAGAAGCCATGGATGTTTGTAAATGTGCATTATCTGTAGGATACGGGGCACTCTAAATATGCGGCGAGCCGAAAGTCTTCTTGACAGGTTGGTGGTAAGAGAAGATTGGTGTGAGACCCTCAGAACCGAACCCCCTGGGGTCCTCTTTCTCAAAACTGGGGAAACCGGAAAGAAGCTAAACTCGGGATCTCACCTATATGGTGCTCGAGGCTCTTGCCAACGACAAACGCATTTGACTCCTTGCCAGGATGAATGTCGTGGGCTTGGGCTGACCATTGTCAGAAACGTGAGACTGGTAGCAACAACAGGAAACGAAATACTGAAAGCATAAATTTAATTTCAATTTTCCTAAGCTACACGTGCTTTTTCACCTAACTGTAAATTAGATTTCTGTGTGAGTTACTTTTTATTGAAATTATTGAAAAAGAGAAATTGTTTTTTACTGCAATAAACTACTTATTAAAGAATTTATGACATAAATTACCGATATATATGAGAGCAATTCTGTCATCTCTTATCCGTAAAAGGTTTTCAGCAATATTAAATTCTGCTCCCCTGAACCAATCGTAATCCAAGAATCCATCACCAGTTTTCACTACAGCCTATGATGAAAAATAAATTTTAATACCTTGAAGAGAAAGAAACCCATGTTAATAGCAAACTCATTTAAAAAAATATATATATATTTGATATATTTGTTATACAATAACTAAAATTTATGGACTGCCTTAATCTTCATAGTACAGAAAGTATGCGATAAACATTAAGCTATATAAAATTACATTGGAATTTCTAAAAGTTGAATCTGTTAAAGACGTTGAATGTCCCTGATTTCAATCACTGGCTACTTTTTTGTGCCATAGGCTATGAAGTAATAAGTTCTTTGACGTGTGTCTAAGCCTTTGAAATCATCGATTACAGAATAAAGTTTTTGTCTTAAAATTTAAGATTGAATGGCTGTGATTGAGACTACTGCTTGTGCAGGCAAGCCTCCACATTATTCAGCGTCAGGTGTGCTAATCGAAACCGCTCAAGGACAACACGAAAAAGATTGCAACAACCGGTTTCTCGCTCTTCTGCTGCTGGCGTTCGAGGTTGTAGGACGTTTTTCAGTCTGTCCTCTCCCTGGCCGATGCGATGTGCCATTTTCCTGCTTGTCTTTGCTGTTCCTTCGATGCTGTCTGCTATACATGAAAATCCTTTTTAGTGAGATTTTTACATGGAAATTCAAGAAAATATAATTACTCCTGTTTCCTGTACATCGTTGCAGAAAATAATTTTTGTTCAGCTTTTCCTCCTTTCGAGAACTCTTCGCGCGCACGTGTTTGTGAGATCTGAAATTTCCTGATTTAAAGAAGAAGAAGCAGAAATACCATGATTAATCAAGTACGCTTAATGACTGCCATCAAAATTTGATTTTCTTTTTACACCAAGACTTTGTTTCGAGCTGATGGAGAAAGATTGACTTTATTCTGAGTGCAACGTTAATTCTGGTGATGCGCATCACTCGTGCTTGATGTTCAAATTTATTCGTCTGTCTGGTTGATAATTTTATTTGTATTAATGCTTATTTCAACATCAAAGATGAATAATAAAATATAATTGATTTGGTAACATACAGTTGTCATACTTTGGGATGTAGAAACTGTATTGCACCAGATGGCGCTGTGTGCGCTTGAATTCTTGGACTAGTGCAGAACTTGGATGATTGCGACAGATGTAACACGAACGCGAAACATTAACTAAAGTTTATATGTGCTTCTCTTTGTTTGAATATGTATTTAATTGTGTCGTCAAATAAAATATAGAGAAAATGATAAAAGGCGAGAATGCGTCTGACAGGTAAGCGAAATTTCTTTATATTATTTATATGAATTGAGTTTTAGCGACAAAGAATGTATATGCGTATTTACATGGGGTAACTACTTTGATTTCGTATTTCCTTCTAGATCACACATTTTGATCTGCACGTTAGTAAGTATTTATGAGCTATTGCTACACAAAGCGGTTTACTAAGTAAGCAATTCATTTGATTTACATTTGTTGATCCTTTAATTCAAAACACGCCATGTAACTATTTTTGGTGCTCAAGTAACTCTAATTCACTACACTTAATTCTAGTTCATTTTTACATTTAGCACCGCAACACATTATCTATTATAACACTGCTTATTAGGTGTTTTAATATTTCAACTCAAAATTCAAAATAAATTTTTATTGCCAATTTTTTATGACTGTACAGTATTCCCACAAATTGTGTTATAAATAGGAAATGTTTTGTATTTCGTTCGAATTCAAATGCTTTACCAGTATGCAGAACGCCCATATTTGATATAATTTCTAGTGATTTTCATGATATAGGGATAAATGTTTAAAGCACTCTGCAAATTACTCATTTCCATAGTGACAATGATGATCATTGAAAGATTGTTAACTTAGGTATATAAACATTCTAAAAGAAAAATAGGTTAGCATAATACTTTTTTCAGTACTTCACAAATTAGATAAGTTAATTACAAAGTTTTGTTAACTAACTAAAGAAAATAATGATTTAAAAAATACTTTCTTATTGTGAAATTAAATCATTGAATAAAGATAGGCAATCCAATATTGATTACGTACCAATACGTACCTATTTTGAAATGAGATTTGATATTTTATGCAGCTTTCCTCAGGGTCTACTAAGAAACACTTTATATTTTTTGTTATAGATTATTTGATAGCTTAATAGACAAATTTATTTTTCTAGAGATACGAATAAAAAAATTCTTATGTGGACACCACATGACCTCCTTGTACGGCCGGCTACAAACGAAAACTTCGCGTCAAAAGCATCGCGGAAGGTAACGTCACTGCGAAAACAACGTGGGAGAAAACAAAGCAAGCAGAAAACATTGCAGTTATAAGACATCGTAGAACAAAACAGCGTCGTCAGAAACAAAGCTATTCAAAAACTTCGCAGTTTAAAATCATCGTCTTCGAAAATATCGTGATAAAATATAAAGCACCTACAAATCATTGCATGCAAATAATATCGCAGACATGTGTTTTTGCAGGCTTTAAAATTTGTAAATACATTTTCGCCTAACGATTTGTAAGCGCAAGGAGAAAAAGGTATATTTTTACACTCATATTTCTGAATTAACTAATAAATTTTTGCTGAGAAATTAAGAAGGAAACTTAAATTATCAGAAACTGAAAGTGAAAAGAAATACTTATTGATGCTACTAAAGTAGTTGACAAAATTTTATGAGATGGTAATTAATAAAAGAATTTTAATAGGGGTAACCAGATGCAGTTACTCATCTTCCTTTTTCTAATTTTCCCGGACGAAAATATGTGTTGAGTGATCATGACAGAAGATCATGAAGAGGATTGTGATGATAAATAAGAGGACTACAGTGACTGATCAATGTCGCACTGTACTGCTGTACTCAATGCCGCAAAAGTGACTGATGAATTCAAAGTCGCACTCGCAAGCATTGTCAGTACCAAAACAGTACAAAGGTAACTCGAATAGCAGGGTATTTTGGGGCGAGCTGCAATTCCAAAGCCACTCATCAGTGATCTATGTGGCCTGTAAGAGGAGAAAGTGGCACCAAAGTCATTAAACCTGAAATGTAAAGCAATGGAAGACTGACATTTCATCGGAACTCCCTTCGTACTGTTTTTGACTTCTGGGGGGGGTGTCGTCTGGAAAAAGCAGTCTCTAGCTTATGATAGAGTTTGTTTGTTGCTGAGAGTGAAACTTGCCAGGGTTTTGGTCATGGTTTGGGCAGCCATATCATGTTATTCCATGGGACTCATCATTACTGCTCAAGGTCACATTACTGCTAAGGATTATGCGACCATTTGGCCGATCACATCCATCCTATGGTATAAATTTGTTCCCTAATGTGATGCCGTAATCCAAGACGATAGAACTCCTGTTCACTCAGCTCACATTGCCCAGGATTAGTTTTCTCAGCATGAAAGTTAACTGTCACATTTACTGCGGCCACACACATTTACTATATGTTATTGAGCCTTTGTGGGGTATTTTGGAGAGAAATCTACGTGAGCGCTATCCACCGCCATCATCATTAACTGAACGTGCCAACGTTTTATAGGAAGAATGGTACAAGATTCCCTTGCAAAGCATACAGGACTACTATTTACCCATTCTGAGATCACTGCAAGCTGTTTTGAAAAAATGCCAGCGTTTTTCCTACACCGTCTCAGTCACAGCAGTATGCTTTTATTTCGGTGTTTACATATTTTTGTCCAACTACTTAAATATGAGTGTTATAAATATCTGTTTTATGTGTATAAAATCTTTATATATCCTTAAATGCATCATTAAATATACATAAATTATACGTTAATATGCTCTAAGTGTTTACAAACAATAACGGTATTTTCAAGCATTTTTATAAATAAGAATACATAAGATGTCATAAAGGAAGAAATCTATTTCTCTTTGAAATTAAAGAAATATCAAAACTTCGAGTTTTGGTCATAGTTTTTAATTTCCCTTTACTGTGAATATTACGAATGTAACGCTTTGTTTAACAAAAAATGTAATTACCTCTTCATAAGGTTTAGACACGATCATGCCGAAGTAATTCCATATTTCTTCCCAAAATTTGCCATAATTTTCAATTGACCATTTGTGGAAATCCCAATAAGAATCTGCAATGGAATTCACATTCATTTATTTTTGAGGAGTCTGAGAAGTAAAATCATGTTAAAAAATCAATTTTAAATTTTAATGATTACTGTTTACTGAAAGAATGTATAATTTATATACATTTATATCTTTAAAATATTATACATTTAAAAATAATTACGCACTTAAAAAAGCTAAATAAATAGTGACTGTTCATTTAAAAAAGCACATAACGTATCATTAAACTAAGCATTTTCATTTTACATTTTATATGTTTTTACTCTGCGATTGCTTAAATATTGTGAATCTAGACTACATGATGAAAGCAATAAATGAAATCGTCAGCATGGTTACAAACATATTATTACAGCTTTGGGTTGTATAGGGATAAAATGATATAGTATATATCTATGTTAAAGAATATATAGACATATCAACTGTCTTATGTGCATATCATTACTACAGAACCCATTGTTTATTGACTCTGAGAGTTTACGTAAGGCCAAAATAAAAATTCGGAAAAATATGACTATTTGAGAAACTTCGATGGATTTGTTGGCAGTATGATGAAGTAGAATGTACTTCAGAAACGACATGAAAAGTGCTGCATTAAAATAGTTAACTGATGACATTTTAAAAGCTCCTGTACAAATTTAAATGCCAACGGTTCGTATGCCTTGTGATGATAGACATTTTGATAATCTTAGCGTTATTGGATATATATGGAAAAAAATATGGAATCACAACTTAAATCTCCATCCACTGAGCTAAAAGGAGAAACAATGTGGCATGAACAATGCCTTTCTGGTCTGGAGTGTCATACAGATGCAGAAGCGACTGAAATTGAAAATTATTATCTGCAGAATTATTGTATGCTAAATATAAATGTTGAGCAGATACCAGAACGGTAAAAAATTATGGGTAACATTTTATAAAAATTTGTATAATAAAGAATTATAGTTAAAATTAATATAATAAATGATTTAAAAATTTAGTTCTACTTAGTTAAACTTAGATACGTTTTAATTCAAAGAATGAAATTTACAGTATTTTTTTATGTTTTGAGTAAGTAATGAAAATTAAACTATGTGATTTATTTTAAAAAGTAAATTTTGTAAAGTAGAATAATTTCAAGGTAAGATTTATTTTAGTTTTGTTTTGAAATATAAATTACCTTAAGTGTGTCCTTGAAATTCCAGTTAAAGAAAAAATAAACAAAACAAAATAAATAATGTGTGCTTCCAGTGAAATTGAAAAATTATTTATCAGTCAAAATACATGTGGTTAATCTTAAAATATTTATTAAAATTTTTTATAAACTCGTAAAAATTCCATATTAATTTATGTTTAGTTAATAAAGATATGTGCACGAAACATTAATCCTATTTTGTATCTTTTCTATAGATCTTTCTTCAGATCAAAATCTTTCAGATGATTGTTGAAAGAGAAAGGCAAATATTCTTATCCCCCAAAAAGTAACTCGAAGTTTCAATAAAAATTTTGGTTTATGTAAAGGCAGAAGATTACCAGTTTTTTTATTTTACAGTATTTTAGAGTATTTATGGGATAAAAAGTTTTATAAAGGCAAATATTTTACTGCTTGTAGTGCGATAATTCACTCGTATCCAAAATTAAGAGAATTTGCAAATTATGTTTGTCTTTAAGACAGGTATTTTATCAAAAGTACTAATTATGTTGCCGAAAAATTGTGCAAATTTTCAGAGTCGAATACCTAAGCGTACATGTGCCTGTCTGCGGAGTTGCGGTTATGGAGGGCATATAAGTGCTCGTCAATGGCGTAGCAAGGGTAGGGCAAAGGGGGACATCTGCCCCCGGGCGCAGCATCCAGGGGGAGGGCGCCAAATTGATGATACACATTTCAGAATGAAATATTTTCCATCCTTGAAACACAGAAAGGGGCGTAAAATCTTTAGGTGTCCCCGGGCGCTGGAAACCTTAGCTACACGTCTGGCGCTCTTGGAGATTTTCAGCCGTTTGTGCCCTCGCACTCCATGTTTCTAGCAAAAGTTGTACAAATTTTATAAAGTATCAGGAAAGCCCAGACGTATGGATGGCGGAAGGAGAATTCACGTTAGATTGGAGGTAGGCTAATCCCAAACGCAGCTGGCTACAGAGCTCAGTGTAACGCCTATTGGCTTTTGCAGTTTATGAAAATAGTTTCAAGACACTGAATTTATATCGAAAAGCCACGGAAAAGTCGAACTAGATCCTCAGTGACGGAAAAAAGATCATTATTTGGCATTTCCAGCGGATATAGGAATCCTGTAGCATCATAGCTCTCATGTGAGCTGTATGAAGTCATTAGAAGCCGAGTTTCGAGGTTTACATGAACGTAGACAACGAAAGGCTTCATGAGCTAAACCAGAAGACCCGCTGTTGCCGCACTGCAGCACACAAGAGAATGCATTTAACATGGTGCAGACAACACACGTTTTAGACCAGAGTTCAGTGCAGTTCTGTGCGTTTTTACAGGTTAGTCAAGTTTCAGTATGTACACTTATTCTCGGCGTACCTGAATTTGGAGAAACCGTGTAACACGATGCCATTTCTCCATCATCAGGCAAAAGGGTTCTTACGATGACATAAGTGTAATGGTTTGGGTAGGCATTACGCTGGACAGTCGATACCCCTTCACGTGTGTGACAAAGCCCCTCTGACTGGTAGGAAGTATCGACAGGAGATCCTAGAGCCTTATGTTCGACTTTCCAGAGGTACAGTTGGTCCTAGCCTTCTGCTAATGGAAGTAGAAGCTTGTCCACAAAGTTTAGCAGGTGGTCGAGTACATGGAAAGTGAGAATATTTGCTGCATGTATCAGACTCTGATCAAACTTGCTTAAATGTTTAAATCTCTGTATCTGTTTTAAAATCAACATATTGAAATTTATTACATTTCTAACGCATATTTTATTTTTACTTTTTTCGAAAGCAATTCTTAATTTGCATAAAGCCACCAGCTCATTAATTTTCAAAAGAAATTGAAGTTGCAAAATATTTTGGAGTTGCCTTTTTATTTTGATAACATGCTGTGCTATAAACTGGTAGAAAACACGTGTATATCAAGCAGTTTTGGGTTTTAGGATAACATAAATTTCCTTCAGTTTTCCAAAGGCTAGTTATTTTTAATTTAAATTTAATTATTAATTTTAATCTTACCAAATTTAATAATTATTATTAATTTTAATCTTACCAAAATGTAGACTAAACTTCTCTTCGACGACTTTCTTGAATTTTTCAAGTTCAGTGTCTGGAACTTTCTTGTCCCACAAAATCATTGGTCGGAATCCCACAAGTTTTGAAGGATCTTCTAAATAGGAGGCAAAAAACATGAAGCGATTAAAATTAACAATTTATTACAAGAAGAATAATCATAAACACTCTTCACTTTTAAGATATTAACCCTTTGAAGGCCAAAACGCCCGAGACGACCTTTCATTCAAATGACCACAACTCCCCGAAATGGCTGAGGTTGCGATATTTTCTTTCCTCCCCCTAAGGTATACAGTAGCAGGTACAATTTTCTCAAATGCGCTGTATAAATTTATTGCAGACAGCTTGTCTCAAAACGCTAATGGAAGCTTCTTTGTTAGGAAATGCAAAGGATATCTTTGTTAGGATTCTTTATTAGGTATAAGGCTTCGGTTTTCTAAGAGTTAATAAACTTTTCCAGACTTAAGTTCTGTTATATTCCTCTGTTCTGGAATTGTCATTTCCACTCCGTAAAACTTTCAATAATTGCCTTTGATTATTGCCTTTCAATAATAATTACGGCATGAGATTATTCACTAAAGAAATGTACAGCATTGACGGCCTGTGCGACAAACATTCATTTTGTTACATTTTGAGCAAAGATTTTTGCGTTTCCTTGTTCACAAACAGATTTCCTCCATTTAAAAAGACATTCTGATCAGATTTATCCCTCAATGTCTCCATTGTTCTTTCCTGTTCTTAGATTCCTTGTCAAGATAAGACATTCTCTTAAAGAAACTATTAATTTAACTTAAAAAACCTTTGCAGTCTTAATTAAGTTCAGAGCCCACCAGTAGCTGAGCATTAAAGTTGCTGAGCGCTGGCTATTCGGTCCTAGAGTTTGAATACTGCGAACGGGCTGGCTGCATGGGCGTTTTCGTTTTTTTTTTTTTTTTTTTTTTTTTTTTTTTTTTTTTTTTTTTTTTTCTCATGTGTAACGTGTATACTAGCCAGTTTGTTAGGTCCCAGTCTTGGATTTCTAAGATGATCAGAAGCTGTACAAGTCGGCATTTTTCACTTGCATCAAACTCGTTTTGAAGAAGAAGGGAAAGTCATTTTGGATGAAACTGTCACCTGTGACCAGACAGGGGTGCAACATTATCTCCTCTCCCCTCCCACTCAAGGCGTGCAGTCGTGAAGTAGAGAATGGAACTACCGTGAGAGCCAAAACTCGATCATCACGGAAAAGTTTTGTCCGTGATATTTGGCCTCTGGATGTAGGAAGTACTTAGAAGAGAAGAGTTAGTTCTGATGACGTAGCAATGTTGACACTGACTAAAAAGATGTAATTCGCTGCAAAGAAATAAATGTTTTAAATTGGAAAATCAGCCTTGAAAAAACTATGAAAAAAAACTTTAATTTAGAAGATAAAGTGTTATTACTGTATGCATTTATAACGTTTAAAAAGTTAATAATTCCTGTTCCTAAATCCGTTAAAGCGATGGATCCTGTAAATCCAGTATTAAAGGCAATTCAGGTTATCTTAGACGATGCGACGGACACCAAAAAAAGCAATTTACTAATACTTTAGGAACCTTTAGGCCTGCGGTAAAGTCACTTAACAATGTTACTTCGGCTCGGGTTTGAATCCCAGCGAACGGGCTGGCTGCATGGGCATTCTCATGGTTTTCCCTGTGCGCAACGTGTATACGAGTCAGGTTCCCTTAGAAGTCCTTTATGAAGACATGCTTTCCTTTAGGCAGACAGCAGTCGTGTGCTTTGCCGTAATCAGATAAACCAAACCAAAATAACCCTTTCAGGAAGTATCAGAAATTCTGGCTTAAGAACGTATGTTCCAATAAATATTATTTCAATGTTGACTGGATAATGGCACTTGAATGAGGTTTGTTCTATGAGTATTTTTCATGTATATAAGATCATACAATTACATACATTTTCATTTAGAGTGACTCTTGATTAATGAAAGTTAAAGCTCGTGGTTAACTCCAAATCAGGGTTAATCCAGAGGCAGAAAAACACAGAAAAAAAATAATTCATATTTTTTAATCAACAAAAGAATGCCATTTACAATTACCGTGTACAACGCGCAAAAAAAGAAAAAAATCTGATGTGTACACCACATGACTTCCTTGTATGGAATATTAAATTATACGCAATTTTTTTTGCATTTCATTTAAACTTATTAGATTGAATTAAACCTACTTCGCCGACACCGCATAAACCACAATAGAATAAATGCATTCTTTAAAATTCACTTTGTTTACCATAGCGACACTCTGGCGACTTCACTTAACAGTACTATATTTCGTTCATATTATAACTCAATGCACAAAATTTATATCATTTAAAGAATTACCTAATCGTTGCCACATGTTCTATTCAAATACTATAATAAAGCTAGAACGCTGTATAAAAGAAATTAAGCAAACAAAACAAAAAAGAAACAGTTTTTCACAGACGATTGAGTATTTCTCATTCAATTAATTCAGTTTTCACTTCGCAACAAGGCAAAAATACATAAAAACTCAAAATATCTATGTTAAAAATTACGAAGTAAATCTTAAACACTTATTTCCTCGAAAAAATTCCAGAAAAAATTAAGCATGATTTAATTGGCAATAATAAATGAATGCGCTATCTTTGTTGTTGCGAAGCTAAGTTTCTCTAGATTGGCAACAAATCCACTATTCTGCTGTTTCAAATGTAAACATCAATGGCCGCCATAAAAAAAAGGCTTAGCGGCACTTAGACAACTTTAAAATTGTTGATAATTCTAAAAATATTGCATACAGATTTACTAAAGGCATAAAACCCTTAACCGGAAGATAAGAAGAACATGATTCAATCATTTTTAAAGCAAAAAATGTACAATTTACAAACATATAAGAGTAAAAGAAAAATGAGATCACCTGAGAAGTCTACGGGTAACAGAGTGGATATATATATATATATATATATTTATATACGTTTTGGGGCGGCCGGATTTGCAACCAAAATACGGAGTAGCACATCTACATGTTATAGCAGTCCTATATACAAAATTTCAACGTTCTGAGGCTACTCGTTTTTGAGTTATGCGAGATACGTACGTATGTACATACGTTCGTAGAGACGCCACGAAAAATTCTCTTCAGAATTAATTTTAAAGCAGTTTTATAATTTTTTGGAGGAAACGAATGTTTTATTCTGTCCTTACGTACATATATTACGGAAATACATCGTTAAATTGCATTTGAAAGAGGTCAAAATGGGATATTTTCGTTGAAATATGCTGCCTGAAACTTTTCGCGATTACAATACTTCCTTTTTACTTCGTACAAGGAAGTAAAAATGGGACAGTTCTATATCTTCCGTTCTAGTGGGCCAATTGACGAAATTCAATTCGTGTTTTTCATGTCTCGAAAGCGCAACTTAGGATATGTGTTAGATTTATATATAGCATTATTCTAATAGAGGTATTTTGGAAAAAAAATCGGACTTTTTCTGAAATTATGGCCAAGATTTTTTCATATTTCGATTCTACGACTCAAATTACACCCAACTGCCAAGTTTTGTAAAAACCGCATGACTGGTTTTTAAAAAATTAGTTTTAAAATCTTTAGCTCCTCAATGTTAATTGAATTTTATCTATATTTATTGATATCTCCTTTTTATTAAACTTACTTGATTCTTTCTTTCATATTTCGAAATTTAGGTTCATTCCAAATAAAATTCGATTATACTTTATTACTTATTTTTAAAATTTGTATTTTTAAATGATTTTTACATATTTTTTGAAAAACATTTTGAATTATAACTTATAACATTTTCCCCATTGTCTTAGATGTATTTCTAAGCGTACCTGTAAAAAGTTAGAGTTTTTTTATTCAAAATTCCCTAAGATATACGTGAATTTACATCTTGGCGTATTTATTATAATTTATAATAACGAAAATGGTTTATGCAGTTTGTTAAAATTATTTGAAAGTAGGAAAAGATGACCTTTTTTTCGCTTTTGCGACAATGAAAAAAAAGGAAAGGAAAGTAGGTTGCTGTAAATTAAGATTTTTTTTGTCTTATTACGTGCTCGCCCTTAGGCACTACGCGGAAAGGGAGGAATGCCCCGTGGAGGTCTGTTTAAGGGAAACTGGCTCATACCTACGTTACACATGTGGAAAACCACGAAAACGCCCATGCAGCCAGCCTGTTCGCCGGGACTCGAACCCCGGATCGGACTACCAGTGTTCAGCGGCTATAACCGCTCGGCTACTGGTGGGCAAATTAAGAAGTTAGCCAAGTGAGATTTTCTTAGCGCAAAGTAAAAAAAAAATGGTTCAAGATAAATTTTTGAATTTCTCACCAAAAATTACAAAATTTAATAACTAGGCATAATTTGAGTCGTAGAATCGAAGAATGGAAAAAAACTTCGTATGTTATTCCAGAAAAAGTCCGATTTTGTGTCAAAATACCTATGTTAGAACAAAGTTATATATAAATCTAATATATATTCTAAGTCGCTCTTTCGAAACATGGAAAACGCAATTTAAATTTTGTCAATCGGCCCAGTCGAACGAGAAATATAAAACTGTCCCCCATGTTATTTAAAGGAAGCAAATCAAATTCCGTTCAAACTTACGTAAGAGTTATAGTAAGTAGTACGTAGAGTTTTAGTAAGTTTATCTGACAGCTATCATTGTTGCCACTGAACACATGGATTTTAATTTTCCTTTCTGTATTTTCCGGGAAAATTTTTATTTAAAATAGCAAATTTTCTATCGCTCTCTAATAAACAAACTTAAATTCTTTTTAGACAGCATCCTATTGATTTTGCATGTGCATGTTACCAGATTTTACAGAGAGTTAGGTGGCCACCGGCCAAGTAGTAAAAATCGGTGAAACATTGATAGTTCGATCTCGGCTAGATTCTAGGCAAACGGGCTGACTATAGGGAGGATTTCGCGGTTTTCCTCATGTGTAACGTGGACTCAACTCAGTTTCCCTTAAAAAATTATCCACGAAGGCATCCCTCCTATTAGGAAAATAGGCGTAGCGGGCTTTTGCTCTAAGTAAGTAAATCAAAGTATAATACAATATTATATCTACGCAAACTGGGAAAAT